ACGTAAAGGGAAAGGTAAGGCTAGTATTACTCGTACTAATATAGCTCGTTCTTCAGAGGATAACTAGATAATTAATAGTAGTACTTCTAAAACGATTACTAGATATCGTAAGGACTTCTATAAATACTTAATTTATAAGCCTAGTAAGGAGCTATATAGCTATACAAATACTAATAGTAAGGTCTAATTAGCAATTGGTTATAGTAAGGCGCCGATTTAAATTAAGAATTCGGAAGGTAAGATTAAGATAATTCTTATTAATACCTATTATAATATAATAACTACCGATCGTCTGCTTTTATCTAATACTCTTAAAGCGGATCACGGTATCTATTATAATCTAATTATTTCGAAACTAGTTTATAAGAATAGGGAGGAAGTTAGATTAGTAAAACGGTTTAATAGTTTATCCTAGATTAATAGCCTACTCTATTAAGAAGTAATTCTAGAGAAGATATAACAATCTTCTATTTAAACGACTTACTTCTATAAACCGAATTCTTCTAATTTAGACTCGGATTTAGATAAAGAGTTTGATCGAATTAATAAGTCTATTTCGACTTACGAAATTTATCGTCGACTTAATTATATTAGAAGACTGTATATTAAAGCTTCTTTTTCTAATACTATTCTTCTAGAAGAAGGAGACTAGGTTAAATTTTATAATTTTAACTATAAAGCTTATTAACTTAGTAAAGCTAAGAAGTAGATTTCTCGGGATATATAACGACGTATAGAAAAGCTAGGTATAAAGTTTTATACGGATATATAAACTATAAACCTACCTAGATCTTATAGTAAACGTTATTAGGTACTAATTGTCGATAACTATACTCGATATACCGAAGGACCGTACTTTCGAACTAAGGAGGAGATTATACCTTATATAATTACTTTCTATAAGAGATAAAAGATTCTTTATAAACGTTATCTAGCTTTCTAGCGGATTAACGGAGGAACTAAGTTCTATAAGTTCTAAATATAGGCGGAGGAAGAAGGTATAGTTTTTAAAATCACGCCTATCTATATACCTAAACCGAATAGCGTTACGGAGCGTATAGGTGGTTATATTAATTAGATTTAATGTATAATAAATATAGACGCTAAGTTTTCTAAATAGCTTTAGTCTTACCGAGTAGATACTATAATTTATATTTACAATTGTTTAATCAATCCGAAGACTATAAAGATACCGATTATCTCCTAGTAAGAGGGCCTTAGTCTTAGTAAGACGAAGGTTAATTTAAAATATCTTCGTATATAGGGTACTATCGTATTTATCTATATTCCGAGGGAGATACGTATTTAATTAAAGAAATCAGCTACTCGTATATTTAGAGGATACCTAGTTAGTTATAAAAGTAAGAATAGTTATATCTTTAAGGTATAGAATCCTACTTCGAAGGAGATTGTTCGTTTACGGGACGTTACTTTTCCTAATAAACTTAATCTTAACTCTTCTCGATCGGATAACGATCTAAAGAGGGGTATTTTAGCTAGAAAGCCGGTACCTAAGGATCCTAATTTAGATAATAACGCCGGGGTACTTTATAAAGAAGGTAGTCCGTATATTCTAGATTTTATAATTAAAAAAGGCAAATAACCTTACGAAGGTCCGAAGGTTGTGATTAGACTAAAGCTAGTTCCGTAGGTTTCTATTACTAGTAAATAGCTAGAGGTAGTAATTTAGATTTTAAGATCTATAATTTAATAGAAGTAAGCTTCTATAGGTCTAGATATACTAGGAAGAGTATAGACTATACTACCTATACTAAAGCCGTTAACTAGAATATAGGAGATCGAAGATAAATCTCTACTATAGTAACCGAATTTCCGGAAGTAAGTTAAACCGGCTTACCTTCTACCGCTAAAGAGATAGGTTATTTAGTAGCTAATTTATTAGTTAGTTCCTTAGTTAATATATCGTCGTCTAGTTCTTTAACTATAGGTTTATAAGATAATTCGACGTTATATGGTTAATTATATAGACGGTGGACTATTGCTTCCGCTAGTCCTACCGCAGCCTAGAAAATAGGTAGTAATATCTCCGGTTTTAGAGGCTATTCTAGAGTCTCTAGTTATTTACTAGTCGATCGAGGAGGATAATAGTAAAGATGGTAAATATGATAGTTTTATTTATTAAGGATAGTTTATATAGCGAGCTACTCGTGATATAGAAGTTCCTATATAATAGGCTGTTCCTACTTCTCCTTAGTATTTACCTAGAGTATTCCGAGAAGACACTTTATAGGAGGTTTCTCCGTAGGAGATTTCTTTATAGGAGATTTTTCCGTAGGAGGTTTCTCTATAGGAGATTTCTATATAGGAGGTTTATAATCTTATTATTTTAGAGGAAGAGTAGATAGTGGTTTAGCCTAGTTCTTATTAGGTTTCTAAGCCTATTTTTAAACTATACGTAGAGACGGTTTCCGAGGTCGAATTACCTCGGGAGGTCTTAGTTAAAATAATTACCGATAGTTCTATTACCGAGATAGCTTCTATTCTACCGGAATACTTTATTCCCTAACGATCGAGCCGGACGAGACAATCGCCTAAACGATACGATTTTCCTACGGAACTTACTAAGACTATATCGATTCTAAGAATAAAACCGAAACCGAAACCGAGACTATCGAGTTAACTGAAGCGAATTATTGTGGAACTAGACGTTCTATAGGGTAATAATAGTACTAATAAAGGATTAGATAATAATAGTAATTAAGGTAGGGGGAGGCTTATAAAGTCGAGAGTTGTTACGAAATAGAGTACTCCTTTTATTTATAACGGTAAGCCTTTATACGTTAAAGACGTTATTATTCCCTAGTCTTATAATAAGGCGATAAATTCTCGATTTTTAGACCGTTGGTAAGTAGCGATAGAAGATTAATTTAATAACGTTTATACGAAAAGGACTTTTAATATCGTTCGTAAGCCGCTAGGGGTAGTGCTTCTACCGAGTTAATAGGTTTTTAATCTTAAAGTGACGAAGGATAACCTTATTTATAGTTTTAAAGCGCGTTAGGTGGTTTATAGTAACTACTAGTAGAAGAAGAAGGATTCAATCTTCTATACTCCGGTTATTTAGAATATTCTTATAAAGATCATCTTTATACTTATTACGTAGAGAGGTTATAAATAGCGTTAGTTTGATATAGTAGCTACGTATCTTAATGCTTCTCGTAAAGATTAGGAGATAGTCTATATTATTCAACTAGTAGGTTTTGAATACTCCGAACCTAATATCGGAAGTAAAGGTTAGGTTTATTAATTACGGTAGGTATTATTTAGTCTTTATAATTCGGTAGCTCTATAGAATAAGGAACTTAATAGAAGACTAGTTAAGATTAGGTTTTATACTCTTAATAATAATCTATATATCTATATTAAGATATATAATAGTTTAATATAGTTTCTTCTTATTTATATTAATGATTTTATTAGTATAGCTCCGACCGACGGAGAGGTCGAGATGATTTTTTAGTAGGTAAAGGGTTAGTTCGAGATTAAGGATATAGGAGAACTATCCCGTTTTCTTAGTAGTACTATTATCCGGGATTACGATAAAAGAACAATTCGGATAATATAGTAGGTATACTATTTAGAGGCACTTCACTTAGTAGAGATATAGGTATATTCTCTAATTTCGATTCCGCTTTCTCTAAACTATAAATAGGATAACGGTAATAAGGATCTAGACGCTCTTCTAGATTAAGAGGGGTATACTTTATTTAGGTCTTTAGTTAGTAGACTTAACTAGCTAGTAGTTAAAACTAGGCCTAATATCAAATTTAGTATTATAAAGTTATAATATCGTTCTACTTCTCCGACTACTAACAATTTATAGGTAGTCCGTACTATCTATAGATATCTTAGTAATATAATATACCTTAGTATAACGCTAGGGGGGGTAGACGATACCTCGTTCTTTACGTATACTAATACTTCGTATAGTAATTAGTATAATTTAAAATCGATAGAGGGTATTATTTAGTTTTTCGGTAGCGTACCTATTATTTAGTACTCGAAGAAATAGAATATTATAACTCTATCGTCGATAGCTACGGAATAGTATGCTCTAGATCGACCTACTAGGAATGCTTAGTGGATTTTAAAGATTACTAAGGTACTTAATCTTCCTAAGGCGGGCAATCCAATTGTTATTTTGATAGATAATATCAATACTTAGTTACTAATAAGCAAGAAATCGTATAAGAATAGTATACGTTAGCTTAATATAAAGTGGTTTTTCGTTAAGGACGCTATTTTCTAGAAGAAGATCGATCTACGGCGCGTCGAGACGAAGAGCAACGTCGCCGACGGGTTTATAAAAGCGCTTGATAAAGAAGTATATATAAAGTTTATCTAGATATTAGGTCTTAATTGATCTATATACTAAAGTTTATAGGTGGATATAGGTTTACGATGTGTAGGAAATGGTAGAAAATAAGAAAACAAAATGGAGAGTTTTTATTGGTGGAGATAAAGAGATATGGTGATAGTCTTCGTCCTAAAGGGAGGTGTTAGAGTCACGTGACGGCTATGTGGGGCCGCAGGTGATCCTGACCCATAGTACTTAGGATAATGGTAGACAGTAGCTAGTTTTTCTTCTCTTCTTTTCTTTCTCTCTAGAGTCTACAATATTAATCCCTTGAGGTTAACATTCATTCCTGTATAGCCTGTATTCCATCTGACAGGAAGGACTAGTAGAAATAGTCGAGGAAAAGGCGGTTATATTTTAATAGGCCTTCTTCCTAGTACTACTACTAATAAATCTCTCCGATATCGACGATAATTATCTAGAACTAATTTACTTCCTAAAAATTATATACTAAGAGATCTTATAGGCAGTTAAAATATTACCGCTAAATAAAATATTAAGAGAGGACGGCTTACCGAACTTACTATAGTATAAATTAATCGAAATCCTAGTAGTACTTAATTCTATTTTACGAATATATAACGCCTACGTATAGATCGGGACTAACCCCTCCTACTTCTAGAAATCGATTACGGTAGTCCTACAAAAGGCTAGTAAACGTAACTACTAGCTAGTAAAGTTATACCGACTAGTTACGCTTCTTAATATACTCGGTAAGTTCCTTAAGGTAGTGATTACCTAGAGGATTAGCTACGCGGTAGAGACTAATAGACTACTCCTAAATATATATCTTAGCGGAAAAAAAGGTATCTCGGTCGATTATACTATCTAGGGGATTATCGGCTAAGTACGACGAGTATAGGGATACCGTAAGGTAGTAAGTATACTAATACTTAACGTCTCTAAAGCGTACGATAATATATCTTATAAGAGGCTAATTTATAATCTCTATAAATAGCGGCTAGGCTAGCTAGTACTATAAGTTAGAGTATTCCTTATAGGGAGAAGCACCTATATACGGATACTAAAAGGGGTATCGGTAAGTATCCTAATACCGATTAGTATTCTATAGGGTTTACCTCTCTCCCTAATCCTCTACCTAATCTATAATATAGATCTAGTAGAAGGCTATAAAGAGATAAAGATAAGCGCCTAGGTTAACGATATAGTATTTATTATAACCGGTAAAAGCGAGTAAGAAAATATCTCTAAATTATAAAGGGCTTACTAGTATACTAACGCCTAGGCCTCTAGGTACGTATCGGTATTTAATCCTAAGAAATACGTATTAATCTACTTTATTAACCCGGATCCCTAGGAGGATCTAGACTTAGGCCTAGGCTAAGGAGGGGAGAGGTATATTGTTGGAGTCACGTGACGGCCATGTGGGGCCGCAGGTGATCCTGACCCACAGAACTCAGGATATTGTTTAGACAGTAGCTAGTTTTTTCTTCTCTTCTTTTCTTTCTCTTCAGAGTCTACAATTCTAATCCTTTGAGGTTAACATTCATTCCTGCATAGCCTGTATTCCATCTGACATATATACTATTAGTACTATTAAGTATTACAGTATAGGCTACTATAATAGCTAAGCGGTATCTCGGGGTCTAGCTAGACCTAGGGCTAACGTTCTAATAATACCGAGAGTAGGTACTTATTAAGATAGGCATTAGTTTATAAGCGCTATATAGACTAATAGGATTTATATAGGGGGCGTTAATATTAGTAATACGCGTAATCTACTAGGTAGTAGTGATCCTATAGATACTCTTTAGAGTAGTAATATAGTATTTACCGCTTACTACTATATAAAGATAGAGAGGCTATATAAAATAGTTCGCTAGCGTCTAGTTAAGAGCGGCCTACCTAATAAGCGGAGCGTTTAAAATAATAGTAAGAGAAGCACTAGATATTAAACTTTATTTGCTATCTATATAGTAGTAGCTTAACCGGCTAGTCCGGTTAACTGCTATACGTATTCGAACGGGATTAAGATATATAATACTAAAAACGATACTTAAAGAAAGAAATAATATATAAAGACAAAAAGGGGGGTAGATACCGATAGAGGCTTAGTCCTAGAAGAAGGATAGATACCTTAGGACCCTAGAAACTATAGTATAGGACTAAGAGAGTTAGAAGATATATATCTAAGTACTATAGAGCGAGCTACCGAAGGTCTACGTTAAAGAGAGAGAATAAGTAAGAACTATATACGATAGGATAGTTAACTAACTAAGCGTACCGGTACGACTATATATAGATAGTAGCGGCTACTAAAGAGGAATCGGGGCCGTAGTCTACCCGGTATACCCGAACGCTTAGGACGACTTACGACTATATAATATAAGGACTAACGACGACGCTACCGTATATATAGCTAAACTACGAGCTATTAAGATAGTATTAGAAGTTATTAAAGAGAGATTTATTAATAGCTAGTAGTAGGATCTAGTAAAGAGGGGAGCGGTTATCTTTATAGATAACTAGGCTACTCTTAGAGCTATCCGGAATCTAAGGATACTATCCGGCTAGGTATACCTAGAAGGTTGCCTCCGCTTACTAGAATAGAGCGATAGCGAGGGGATCTAGGTTAAATTACGCTAGATTCTAGCTTACGAAGGTATTCTAGGTAACGAGATAGTTAATATACTTATAAAGATAGTAGCTACTATTACGTAAGAAGCGAACTAATATAACCGATTTATCCGGCTTATAGCCGTAGCGAGTAAGAATATTAAACGTAATTCGATAATCGTATAGGAAAAGGAGTAGTTAAAAGAAAGAAGGACTACGCGAAGAACTTAGAGGCTAATCGACGTTCCGAATAAATTAAATTTACTCTACTAGAAGGGACTACGGAAAGCGATAATATTAGTTTTAATTTAATTACGTATAGATATTATCGGACTAGCCGAATACCTATATAAAATCAAAAAGATAGACTTACCGCGATATAAATACGACCTAGAGAACTAGAGTATACGATATATCCTACTCGAATACCTACTCCTAAAGGAGCTACGGGCGGAGATAGTAGAGGAGTTGTTCGAAGCAGGTATCTCGACGATACTCGGGGAGGAGGAGATATTAAGGGAATCGAAGGTAGCGCCGATCGTAGCGAAGTTTATAATCGCGACGGGACTCCTAGGATAGTTTTAGTTAGTAGACTCGATCGCTACGGGGAAGGAGAAGGGGGTAGGGGACGAGGATTATTATAATCTAATAATAAAACTAAATTAAGAGACTATAAGTGCTAGAGAAATAGGATATATAATATAGTGGCCGCGCGCTAGGTCCGCCGAGGTCACCTTATAATAACGTATATAGAGAACAACGTACGTTGCCGGCGAAGACGATAAAGTATAGCGTCGCGATCCGAATCTATTCGTATATAACTTACCGGAGTGATATAGCGGGTAGATCTAGTAGTCCTAGTGATATAAGGACTCGGTGACTCGGGGAGCTAGGTAGAGAGAGGAAGAAGTAGAAGAGTGAAAGGTATATTATAGAGAGAAGGGGACACTCTACGCCGCGGGGAATGCGGGATTTATCTACGGATGAATTGACTTTCTTTATAATTTCTTTTGTCTTATTTGCACTATGCCGGCCGGTTTGTGGCCTTACAATTCAGGTTGCAGGACTCGAGAGATCGAGTCCTATCTATAGGGTGGATCTGTATACTAGGAATACACCACCATTTGTCGTCGGGAGCGGGCTCTGGGACGCAATCCCCGCATAGCAGCATGTATGTAATAGCGAGCTACATCGGGTTAATGAATTCATCATCATCATCATCATCATCATCATCATACGTTAACGTAAAAAGTGATTGATAACTGACTTTATCTGATAGTTCCTGATCAGGAAGAACACATAATCTAAACTGTTCTTGTGTTTATATTTGCGGCTTTCTTGATTTTTGAATGGTCAGTGGCTCTTTAACCCTATGTTTATAATTGCTAAAGTGATATTAACTGGTTGCATCTTCATCGATGCACCGGTAACCGCCTTCTATGTGCGGTTTAGATATTACCCCACCGTTTTATTGATGATCAAAACCACATCAGCGTGACCATCAAATCACCGAGGCCAATTATATCTAGCCTCCACCCGAGTGCTCCATGTCTTATAGGATCCCATAAGCTAACCAGTGACACATACTATTTCATTTTGGGACAAGTATGAGACAAACCCCGTCGTCAAGGAAATGCCCATGCCATGCAGACAACCCCCCAGCTCCAGCAAAAATCGATTTATCACTACAAAGATTTTCATTGTTCAATATGTTACAGCAGGGAGATCGCCATAGGTAGCTGGTTAATGAAGGTGCTAGTATACCCGTTTTACTGTACAAATGTGACACACTTTCCGCTCCATCTCCTACATTGCAAACCAAGAAGTTGACTCCATTAATTTGCAAATTGACCGCAATTATAAGAGTGAGTTTGGCATTCGCAGGGCGATTGAAGGTCCTCGCCATCAGAACAACTACTCAGCATCGGAAAAGAAGTAACGCGTCTGGGCTGGTTCGTTACTGATGAACCCGAATTTGATAAAACTCGAAGCAAAGGTCGAAGCGTCATTAGGCTACCGGCAGCAATCCCTAAACTGGCTTCTACATTCGACCATATCGAAATCTGTGTTGTTTCGTCTGCTAAATTAGACGGAAGAGGTATGTGGACGATATGAATCAACTCACAAAGGAAGTCTGGTCTACCTGCGTAATGCAGAAATGGGATACGGACTATGACAGCCACGCTAGCTCTGCTCATTATCAGCATAAGCTCTAGGATAAGAGGGGAAATAGAGCATACGAACATATAAGCAAGTCCCAAAATTGCCGACACGGCGAATTTCGTTCCACGCTTCATTTGAAGCCTCCTGACCATGAAAATAGGTAAGGAGCCAATGGTGAAATCGCATGCTGCCACCACCCCACTGTACATATAGACGATACCAAGCAGAATGTTTATGTCGAGGCAGCGGCCTTTCGTTGATGATCGATTCCAATAATGTGCGACTGGGCGACATTGGAAGATTGTGAAGAAAAGAAAGACGGTTCCCATCGCAGTCGAAATCACCATAATACCGTAAAGAACCCACAAATGGATGCGCTGGATCGTAAGACGTAGAAGGGTGGTGGCAATAGATAGTCTTGCAATGGTGCAAGTAAATACGTAAAATATTTGTCCTAGCCACCAACACTATCGACCACAGCAGTCAGCAAGCTCTACATACCAAAAGATGCGTGTGTTATGAGCACCTACCAGCAACCCGCGGCGAACATCGTCCGGTCTATGACTTAAATACGCCGGCGCCTTTCCCATCCCATGCAAGGCGCCCACGATTCCACATACAGCGAATACCACATTAAAAACCTGCGCGTTTTAGTTTGTTCTTTCACTAATTGGATGACACTTTTCCATCGGTACTTACTGCCGCCGTTACCAACAACACATCATCGGATCCAAATGACTTCACAATTTTCAGCCGGACAAAACACCGGAGACAGATAGTGATTAGCGAAAAGCCCAACAAAACGGCTGTGGTGATGATAATGGCATTGCTGCCCCCATTTGCCATCTCCTTGAGGACAAGTTGTGCCTTGGAGCATGGCCTGGGTGTCGCGAAAATATTAGCGGCATTGAAAAGCTTAGTTGAATTGTTTGTAAGAAAAGAAGCATTGACGTCATGATTGACATTCACAATAAGTTGACTGTCCCACTCGGTATCGAGTAGCTTCCACTGCTCTTACAGTAGACAAGATGCTTTCTATTAATATTCCAAAGCATACTACGCCCGATCAATATGAGTTGGGCGAAGTTCCCTCGCTGGCCTGGCCGTGGAACGCCCCACCGACATCTTGATCAAAGTCCATGCCGCGAGTATCAACCGATAGATGTGAAAAAAACGCCGGGGCAACTAAAATGGTCCTCAAGGACAGGTGAGAGTCTTTTGTTCCCGGATTGATTTCTCGGTCTGACTTATAAATGAAGCTTTCCGTACAAAATTGGCTATGACTGTGCGGGTACGGTCGTTAATACCGGATCCTAGGTGACGCGCTTCAAGGCCGGTGATATAACGCTTGAACGCTATTTTGGGAGTCTAGGAAAATTAATCATCTGTTAATTTCCCATGAAGATAATTCTATCCTTCTGCTCTGCGCAACTTACGTAGTAGGCCGGGAAGAACGATTATTGTTGGAGCCTCTGGTCATGTGACCTATATGGCTGCCTGTTTTGTCAGGCTAGTGGTTGATGTTTGCATGTTTGCATGTTCGCCCCACTCCATGTCTCCATATCTGCATCTCTCTCTATAGTTCTCTCTCTCTTCTCTTTTCTCCCCAGTTCTCTAGTTTCTAGTATCAATACAATTGTCCACCCAACTGCCTGTTCTCGATCCGCCAATAGGTTCTGAGCCCTTTGTTCTTCTTACTAAGACTCCATCAGTTCTCGAAGTGGTGAGACTAGTGTCTTTGGTAACGTTATTTGTGCGACGATATCACGTGATTTGTAGAGTTTTCACGGACCTACTTTTACCCTATATATTTTGCTCGCGATTGTTCGCTAGTAGCAACCCTATTTATCTTATTTATCTCGCTCGCGATTTATCCGCTTAAAGCGACCTACTTTATTCTTTATTTTACTCGCGATTATTCGCTCGGAGTAACCTACTTTATTCTTCGAAAATCTTACTTTTCTCGCTCGCGATTATCTACTAGAAGCGACTACCGACGTCTTCGAAACCTCTTTATTTCGCTCGCGATTATTCGCTAGTAGCGACCCTCTATATTCTTTATCTTACTCGTAATTATTCGCTAGAAGTAATCTTATTTATTCTACTCGCGACTATTCGCTTAAAGTAACCTAATTTATCGAAATAACTAGCGAGTTAAACTCTAGTTTATAGGGTAGAAGCTCCTAATAGCTACCCGAACCGGACCCTACCTAATCTACCTAACCGACTCTAGGACTTCCCGTTATCTAAGGAACTCGCTTAAAAGCGGTTATTAACGTATAATACCCGAAGATATATATTTTAAAGATTAATAGATTAAACTTTATACGCTAGAAGCGCGAAATTACGAATAGTTTATAGATAATTCGAATTAAAAACGTAGTGAATTTTAATATTCCGAAGCCGGTAGAAGATAACCTAATATACGATACCTAGTTCTATTAGTCGGTATCTATTCTTAGCTAGATTTCCTCGAGGATTAATAATAAGATTACTATAATTCTCGAAGGCTCGATTTAATAATTCCCGGAATACGCCGACGACTTAATAAAGGAAATTACCCGGATTATAAGCGGTAATAATAAAGTTATAAACGTTAGTTTAGAAGTTTTAAAATTCGCTAAGTTAAAATATAATAATTTCTCTATAATAAAGGATTATATTATAGTATATTAGAGTTAGTTTAACGTTCTCGGACGTTATAGAGTAGCGCTATACCCTTTTACGGTACTCTACGTTATTCTCGACGCGCTTTATAGCGAGCTCCCGAGCGTAAACTTTACTCTTAATACTTTAAAATATTAAGTTCCTACGGAAATTATAATAGATAACTTTAGTAAATATTATAAAGAACTTGCGATTAAAGCGAACTCGATTACGGAAGCGGACGAAACGATTTCGACGGCTAAGGTATCTCGATCTTATAATTCTTCTTCTCGCGGCGGATATAGATAGTACGGTTATAGAGGCTATATTAGATATAGAAACGACTACCGGAAGCTATTTAATAAAAAAGATAATAAAGAAGATAATAATAAAGAAGTCGAAGAGGAACCCGAGGAGCAACTACGTAAAGTACCTTCGAAAGGTTAGGATATTAATAATTAGGCTAAGCGTTAGCGTAATTAGTAGCCGTAATATATTAATAGTACTAAATGTGCTTACTATAGTGCCGGGGGCTACCCTATTAAGACTTATTTCTACCTACTTAAAGATTTTGTTTCTAAAGGATAGGAGCCTTTCTCTAATATCTAGTACTACGCGAAGGCGCGTGCGGAGCGTGCGGAACGTGAGGAAAGGGACTCGGTGAAGAAGGATTCCAAATCTTTAAGGAAGAAGTGATTGTTTTGTTGTTCTCTATAGGGGGGTAGGGAAGAGCGCCTGTCTTGTCTAAGGAGGATTACTAACCTAAGGGGGGGTGTTGGAGCCTCTGGTCATGTGACCTATATGGCTGCCTGTTTTGTCAGGCTAGTGGTTGATGTTTGCATGTTTGCATGTTCGCCCCACTCTATGTCTCCATATCTGCATCTCTCTCTGTAGTTCTCTCTCTCTTCTCTTTTCTCCCCAGTTCTCCAGTTTCTAGTATCAATACAATTGTCCACCCAACTGCCTGTTCTCGATCCGCTAACAATTATCCGTAATGACGCGATTCATTGCCGTTTGTATCTTACTTCTCGATGATCCCAACCGCACAATATCGATAATGTGGTGGATATTAGTATCATTAGAAGTCCGTATTGCCTTAAGAATCTGGTCTATAAATTGCTGATGGTACCTAAGTTCTTCTTCTATCATACTTAAGTAGAGTTTGCGTCGTTTGTCGGAGCTCTTATCCATAACGCAGACATAAGCGCGTTTTCTGCATTCAAAGTAACGGATTTTCACCACTGCACTATTTTAAAAGTAAGTATAAGATCTATAATATTCTAATATTCCTAACCTTTGTCCGCCGACGCTGATATTCTTTGTAGGCAGTTCATATACCCCCCTTGGATAACTGTTGGGTGCCTGGATGCCTGAATGCCTAAGGCATCTAGACCCACATGATGACAGAACTATAGCTATAGATAGCCTCTCTCTCTCTTTCTCTCTTTCTCCTCTCTGTCCAACTCAATCTATCAAGAATCTATCTACTTGGTTTCATTATCAGTATTCCATCATATAGATTCTACATTAATAACTAATCTCGCCTCCCCCATCCCACCGGATATTTCAGTACAGCCTTCTTTAAGAAACTCTGCCATACATTCCTTAGGTAAAGTACATACATAAACCCCACCGTTTCAAGGACGTGTATCGTAAAGATCTGCAACTACAAGGGACTAGGTACTTCCGCATCCTTTGCCACCCCTAATATGTTCTCAAAGCCCCGAATTACTGAATATCCTGCAATGGAACATGTGCCTTCTCGCAGAGGATCCCCAGTTAGGACCCTAAACCATCCATCGGACTCCCGGCGGGGAAAGAGTCGCGACTAATCTAAAAGTTAGTCGCCAAGCTTCACACTCACACCTTCTCCATTAGACTTTCTTGTGCGCATAATTAGTGTCTCAACGCCTAGATAAACCCTAAACCCCGCAGTCCCATGTGATTACCCCATGTGCTGATCGCCTGGGACTGGGCTTGCTATAGGCAAGCGCTATACCTGCACGTCTTGCGCTGGTGATGAGAGTGTTACAATCGTAGATGGCTGGGTATCTTGGCATTGTGTCGGGTTAATAAATCGAAGAAAGATCGTTGCCTAAAGCGATTGTTTGCTCCGTTTAATCTACTCATTCTCCGTCAAAGTCCGGCATGTCTCATCACCAGGATCTGAAGATGGAGATGGAGTTGAGCCCGGAAGACCGGCGGCGATGGGCCTCTTCTCCATCTCTCAGTATGTTATATAATGGACTCTTTGCTCCCAGGTTGAGGATTCTCATTAGCATCTTCCTGGGTTTCATCATCATCTTCATCTTTATATCATTTCTAACCACAATCATGGGTTTCCTAAAGCTCTTCACCACGTCCCTTGCGACTCTGGCAGTCGTCAATGCCGGTAAGCTCCTTACCGCCAGTGATGCCCACGCTGTCATTCCCAGCTCCTACATTGTTGTCATGAATGATGGCGTTAGCAACGCGGAGTTCAAAAACCATCGTGACTGGGCTGCAAATGTTCATGCTCGTATCACGAGCCGGAACAGTGCCGAGTCTGGACCAGGGAAGCATTTCGACATCAATGGCATGAAAGGATACAGCGCTAGCTTCGATGATCGTATCGTCAAAGATATTGCCAGTGACCCGGCGGTATGGCGTTTCATTACCAACGTTGATTCCCCAAGAGCGTGTTGCAATCTAACCCGCAGTTAAAATATAGGTCAAGTACGTTGAACCAGACATGGTTGTAAACGCGACCGAGAACGTGGTTCAGCCTAATGCTCCTTCATGGGGCCTCCCTCGCATCTCTAGCAAGAAGCCCGGTGCTACCGACTATGTTTATGACTCTACTGCTGGTCAGGGCATCGTGATCTATGGCGTCGACACCGGGATTGATATTGAACATCCCGACTTTGAGGGCCGCGCTGAGTGGGGCACCAACACTGCTGATAATGATAACACTGACGGCAATGGCCATGGTACTCACACTGCGTCTACTGCGGCGGGCAGCAAGTTTGGTGTTGCAAAGAAGGCCTCTGTCGTTGCTGTCAAGGTCCTTGGTGGCGATGGTTCTGGAACTAATTCGCAAGTCATCTCTGGCATGGACTGGGCTGTTAAAGATGCAAAGTCTCGCGGCGTCACTGGAAAGTCTGTTATGAACATGTCTCTGGGTGGCGCCGTTTCTCAGGCTATGAATGAAGCCGCTGCCAATGTCGTTAAGTCCGGTGTCTTTCTCTCTGTTGCCGCCGGCAATGAAGCCCAGGATGCGAGTAACAGCTCCCCTGCTTCTGCTCCGAATGTATGCACTGTTGCCGCTTCTACCAGCTCAGATGGCAGTGCTTCCTTCAGCAACTTCGGTTCCGTTGGTGAGAGCTCCCCCTCTCCCTTAGTGCGAAGCGTGCTTGTTATTCGTGGAAGCGTACTGATGGTATTACTACAGTCGACCTCTATGCTCCTGGGGAGGCCATCACGGCCGCATTCCCTGGTGGTGGCTCAAAGACCCTGTCTGGAACCTCTATGGCTGCTCCACATGTTGCTGGTGCTGCCGCCTACCTGATGGCTCTCGAGGGTGTGACCTCTGATAAAGCTTGCGCCCGCATTGTCGAGCTTGCTATCTCGTCTATATCCAGCGCTCCGTCCGACACTACTAGCAAGCTTCTGTATAACGGTATCAACGCCAAATGAGTGATCTAATAGCGTGGCGGATGCTTACGGTATGGGACCGTGAGTGGCCTATGTATGTTATCTTGGGCGAGCTTTGGCAAAGCCAACCCAAGCCATGTTGATGCGTATTAAACGCTTGTTTGATCATCCGTCTTCGAATACTCTCGTTTAAGTTTGCGGAGATAGTTTATAAGTAACTGCGAGTTCACGGTTATAACAGATTTCCTAGGTATGTAGGGAAGAAAGAAACTATGATGATAATTAGTCAGTAAGAGTATAATCTGCCCTAATGTTGGGTGCCTAGGTGCCTCAGGCACCCACGGACCCACTATGAGACAGATCCACCCATGTAGATAGTTCTCTCTCTCTCTTCTCTTCTTCTTCCTTTCTCCTCCGTCCAATCTTTACATTCTGAATCTATATACATTGTTTCTTATACAATCCTCTAGATTCTACATTAGGTTATGAGCACCTTTTTCTGCTAGCAGGACCACTAGCAAAACTCTTTCTTCTAAAGCTTTGACCTAGATCCACTTTTCCTACTAGGTAGAGATTTTTTCGCCTAATCAAGAATCGATCCTAAAACCTTTAAGACGAACTATATCTCCGATCGACAAAAATTATATCAGATTCGGAAAATAGGAATAGTAACCCTACTAAAATGCTATATTCGCTGCCCCCGGGAAATACGTTATAGGCCGCAGCTAGTCAACTAATTGCTTGTTCAATTGAAAGGACTGCAAATAACCCTCATATTCCTATTTATGTTCCCTCATTTGGATATTCCAAGCACCCGAAATTTCAAATATAGGACAACTAGAACGCCCATTGCTTCAGCCAGTTCGCCATCATATCTGGCGTAATCGGTGGCAGTGATCTCATTGTTGCACTTGCCGCTTTTGTGTGTTCTATCTCAAGAGGGACGGAAAGAACCCCTTGACCTTCCACGAGACTTTGGTAGAAACTAAGCAACTTCAGCGCAGGCTTATTTGCAAGGTCTTCTCGTGTCGGGGACTTTATTTGTTTCAGTTCTTCGATCCACTGCTCCATCTCCACTGATTCCAGCTCATAGAGGGCATGGATTGGCTGGAGAAGACTCTTCCACGATGTAGTCGAAGGGTTGACTAGGTGAAAAACCGAGAAACGACTTTCTCGCTGTGTCTTTTGGCGGGTGTGAACGATTTCCACAACAATCTTAGAAAGCAGGTCCTATAAAGAAAAACAGGCTCTTGATTAGCATGTAGATTATGTAATCTCATGTTATCCCTTACCACTGGAACCCAATCGACCTGGAATTCCCCTAGAGTGGACGGGATTTTGCCGAGAAACTTGGAGGTGGCCACAATGGCGGGCAGCCATTCCTGCACATTCCAAAAACCACTTTCCGTGCGCGGTCCGGCAATTTGTCCCAGGCGATGAATGCTAGTTGGTACCCCGGCCGTTTGAGTGGCGGCCAAACAGATGCGCTCACATATATGTTTTGCCTCTCCATATCCCTGGCGAAGTGCAACATCGCAATCCTCGAATGGAAGCTCAGGAATGACAGGCCCATTGAGTATCGTCCATCCTCCAATGGCTCCGATGGAAGAGAGGAAATGTATGTGAGCTCGATGCGCACTCTTTATACTAAATTCTATCAGATTGCGCATAGCTCGGATATGAACTTGTTCGAATGAATCGACAGAAATGTTAAAGTCCATCCTCCAGGCATTGTGTATGACAGTATCAACAGATCGAAGCATCTCCTGATATGTGGCATCATCAATGCCGAGCTGATGTTCGCCCAGGGATGTTTGAACAAATTTAACCTTATCAGGGATGGTCGGGTCCAGACCACGTTCTTGAAACGCTTTTCGTTGCCTTTCTTCCTTCCCATCTCTTGTTAAGCAGTACGCCTTGCCTACAGTCTTATCAGATCGCAAGGAATCAAGCAAATAGCTGCCAAGTGACCCAGTGGATCCTGTGAGTGCCACGGTAAGCATGTCCGTACCGCACACATTGTGGACATAGTTCTGTTGTGGGAGATCAGTCGTATAATTTGTGACCAGCCGGTCGATCTTTTCACGCCTTGAAATTGTCTGTTTCTGTGCCCCATATAGAATACCGTGTAGGAGAATCGCGATCTCTTCGATGCTAGGGTGTATATAGATCATTTGCGGAGTTATATCCTGGAACCCGGTTGCCCGGAGGGCAGACGCCAGCTGTATGGTGCGCAATGAGTCAAGTCCGACGTCGTAAAGATTGGCATCATCTGCACATGAAATGATATCCGAAACATAGAACACAAGATTTCGAGCAAATTCGACGATGTTTGGGAACTCTGGAGAGGGCGGCAGGGTAAATGGTATCCCTTCCACATCGGGTAAGGTGTAGAGTTTTTCAACTTCGTCCTTGTAACTGTCTGTCACAAGTCTTCGCTGGGTGCTTCCTTTTGGTGTCATGGCGAAAGGTTTGTCTTTGGATGCTAGTGCGATTTTATTTTTCATGACATGTCCATGTGCCGGGCTGATACGATTAGCCTCCTGCACTTTCGGCCAGACAATGTCAATCAAGTTATTCCCCGGGGGAACAGCATCCCATTGATTCCAGCTCGGCTCGATCAACAGGGCTGTTTGGAATCTACCGAGCCCAACGACAACCGCTCGAGCTACCAAGGGATGTCCCTCAATAACCTTCTCCATTGTGACTGGGTTGAACTTCTCGCCATTATTGAGCACAATCACATCGTCCAAACGACCATGGAACTTCCACAGGTTGGGGATAGTTGGATGTGGCGAGTACAAATCCTTTGTGTGATAGCATTCTAGATCGGGGAATGTGTGGAAAATTGGCTGAAGTTCAGGTTTTTCGTGTCTGCATAAGACCATCTCACGTAGTCCATTCTCGACGTGTTCCATTTCAATACCAAATGTGGGACTCCACTCAAAGTAAGACCAGTCTCCGTTCTGCGGTAGAAGGGACAACACGAAGCCGCCCTCTGTCATTCCAAGGAAGCTAACAAGTTGAGTACATTCACTGACCTTGCGGCCGACCTCGGGAGAGAGGGGTCCACCGCCGAAATACACACGCTTGAGTTTGGAGATGGCATGTATCGATTCGGAATTTGCAGAAAGGTCCTCTAGGATAGATGGAGGGAAAAGTGCTGCGGTAGGCTGAGTACTGGAAAGTACGCTGCTCACTAGGTCCGCTGATAGCGGCTTGTCTGGCAGGATCACGCACGGAATTCCATGGAACTCGGCCATGATAAGCAACGCAAACCCCATGAGATGAAAGAATGGAGTTGTGGAAAGGATCAAATCATTAGGGGTCAATCTATCTGGAACTCCGGCTGTTCGGCCTGGTGGAATGGGAACGTGGGCTCCATAGTCCAAAGCACCAAAATATCCAAATGTAAGCTGGATTGGCTTCGGAAATCCTATGTAAAAGGAGGCTAGTGTAAGTCACTTCTCAAGTCTGAGGAGACGGGAGCTTTTACCTGTTGTTCCCGAGCTGTGGGCTATGAATGCCACTTCATTCGTTACATTCTCAAAAGTCCCCGAAAACGGATATGCACTGGTATCCTGGGACATCATATCCTCCAATGATGGTATTTCATAGCTGATAACATAAGGGGCGGCGGAGCATATTTCCTCTGCTTTTCGTCGTTTCTCGGAGCTGTAAGCAAGCTTAGAGCAGTTTGTCATCTCAAAAAGGCGAACATGGGCTGCCTGGGAGTTACGCGTAGATGATAGCAAGGGCTAACGAAATAGGCAGGTTAGTGAACAGCTCGGCTCCCTTTCAATAGGAATATTAACTTGATCATTGAATACAAACCTTGTAGCCAGTTTTGTTACATGCAATAACCACCACCAGATAACGCACGTCATTTAATCCGAGGTACGCCAAGGTTTCGTTGAAAGAGTCACTTTTTCCAAATTCTTTCACAATCCACCAGGACATGTAGTTGATCGCGTGTGCCAGGTTCTTGACGCTGAAGTCCACAAAGACCTCGGAGATACCGGGGCTCTCTGGAATGGAACACACTTTCCTGTCAGGATCCGTCTCGGCCAAATTGTCAATGACATGGGCCATAACCCTTTTACCAAGGTTTGGAATTCCAAATTCCATCATTTTGATAGCAATGAAAAGAGTTAGAAATAATTATACTCGAATGGAATATTTCCTCTTGATTGGTATGAAGTACAAAGACAATTTGGAATTGGAAGTCAGTGCTGGAAGTTGAAATTGGATAATGCTTCGATCAGCGCCGCATTAAGTGGTAGTGTAAGAAGCCAAAACCTCAATGCAGCCCGGGATGGGGGCTTTTATCATGGCTTTTCGTGGGAATACTAGCTTAACGTCATATGGATATATCCAAGTATTCAAGTAGATCTTGCACAAAGGTGTAGGATACAATTTAGCAATAGGAGTAACGCATATGCTAAACTGTAATTGGTATGAATAGGTGCAGCCTGTAAAGATGTTGTACTATGTAGTACATCATGCAGATCGCTGATCTTCAGGATTTCGTGTTACACAATGTCTTCATTCTACACACCTCGTCTTATTTTCTTTATATGCACGATTTGTCGTTGAAATAGCTCTTGGGTAGGAGGCCTAAATAAGGTTAACCAGCGTGAGGGAACTCTCAGATCAAAAACTCAGTCTAGGAGGCGATGCGGCAATCGTATATCTTCCCATATCTGATGTCCCGCTTGATTCAACTTTTACTGCAGCGCATGACCATGCCATGGACCTTCTGGATATAGTGAAACTGATCGTCAATTCCTCTCTGCCAATCAAGGTCTTTGTGTTGACGAAAGGGGTATCTGCGGGTCAGTTAACAGCGCTTGCTCAGTCACCTCTACAAGGATTATCCCGAATCATTGCTTCAGAACATTCCGACATTTGGGGTGCTCTGATTGACCTGGAGGAACCTACAATACCTCTCGAGGTCATGAAGTATGTACAGGGGGAAGGTGTGATCTGCAATTCTGACGGCATCCCTCGAATTGCTCGCCTACGTCCTCTTCCACATAACCGACTGCTGCCATCGTGCACGGTTCCTCGTATATGTCGCCCGGAGGGTACATATTTGATTACGGGCGGGTTGGGAACTTTGGGTATGGAGACAGCCGAATTCTTGGTGGAACAGGGCGTTCGTCGCGTTGTCCTACTTTCAAGACGCGCTGTGCCGCCTAGAAAGGACTGGCCGGCAATAATTGCCGAATCGGCTCCCATGATGTCTGTACTTAAGGGGATTCAACGACTTGAGGCATATGGTGCGACAATCAAAACAATTGATATCGACATCACCGATGAGTCTAGCGCAGAACAGCTGTCCATGGCGCTTGATGCTTTCAATCTTCCTGCTGTCTCTGGTGTTATCCACGCAGCAGGTGTGATAGAAAATGAGCTGGTCCTATCCACCACGGAACAAGGCGTTAGCCATGTTCTTGCACCCAAGATCTCCGGCGCAATGTTGCTTCATCGGCTTTTCCCCCCGGGACACTGGATTTTATGATTTTCTTCTCCTCGTGTGGACAATTATTTGGCTTCCCCGGACAAGCCTCATATGCCTCTGGTAACGCATTCCTGGATACCCTTGCGGCTCATCGCCGCAATCAAGGCGATAACGCTGTCTCGTTGCAGTGGAGCAGCTGGCGCGGTATGGGAATGGCAACAAGCAATGAGTTCATCAATGCCGAGTTAGCCAATAAAGGCATCACGGATATTACACGCGATGAAGCATTTCAGGCTTTATTGCACGTTCTAAAATATGATATATCCCAAGCGGCCGTCCTTAGGAGTCTACCTATTGAAGACGACGAACCAATACCAAGCTCAATCCTCACTGATATCATCAAGCGCAAGCCTCCGACATCTTCCCCTTCTGACAAGCCGCCATCCGAAACCAAGGAAGGAAATGAAATTCCCTCATCCATCGAAGAACGTCGAGCTTACCTTGATCATAAGATTCGAGACAGCATATCGCAGGTGCTGCATCTGGCCGGACCTGAGGACGTCGATCCAAAGGACGTGATGAGTGATTTGGGGCTAGACAGCGTCTTGACAGTGAGCCTGCGAAGTATGCTACAAAAGGCTCTGGGGGTCAAAGTTCCACCAACATTAACATGGACCTGTCCCACGGTCGTGGACTTGATCTGTTGGTTTGAAAGCAATATTTGAGCTGAAAAGGGTCTTGTCTGGTAGTCCGTGGTATCGTTACATAGGGCTTTCATTATAAATCTGACTGCATCACATCGAACGGGTTCTTGCTTAGCAGAAAGATGTACCGCCATATTAATTCTCCCGGAGAAGTTTATGTTGAAGTATGATGGATCCCCTGTATAAGTACCAGAAGGATTACTGCCGGAGACGGGAAACTCTCGAATATCGGATGTCTTGAGTACCTGAAGTCTCACCTTGTTTTGTCTGAGAAACCTTGTCACCTCGCGAGTATAAATCACATTGCATGCATAATGCTCTGTGTAAGTCGCAAAACTAGATCGTTTTCAATGAATAATCTTTAGTAACATCCCTAGACTAGCTAGAAAATACCAATAAACATTATTTCTAATAGTGCTTTTAAATATTTCTTCCAACCATATTTTGCCCTATCGTTATACGCTAAAGATAATATCTCAGCAGCTAGGCTTTCTATATCGTGTCTGCAAAGTACGATCTAAGTAGGTTTCTTTTCGTTTAAAATGTACACTCGTCCAATTCCACCTCAGAACAGTAGGATTGGGGGTTCACATTTAAAACAGGTCATAATGTATGCTATCATGGATGCTATCATGCTATCCTTAGCATTAGGTGCATAGGCAGATAAAGTAAGGTTAGTACCACAATTGGACCTCCCGAAATTTCTTTTTAGTCCGCTATACTTCCATTAATATACGATGGTGTAGTCTTTTAATTTTCACTACTGCCAACACCCAAATCAACGAAAGGCCTTTGAATTCAACCCATATCCTTGCCCATTCCCCTCTTTATGGCTCGTAATGGTCAAAGTATTGGAAAGAAAAAAGTACATTTCCGCAAGAGTAGCAGGTTGTCTAAAAACATATTCACTCTAATGGTAAAGACGGAAGGTACAAACAGAGTCTGTCTCAGAGTCTCGCGACCTAGAGTGTGAGCGTGACCAACCGGTAGAGATCCTACGTGGTTGCAATATGGAGAAACAACACTGTGGGATTCGTATGTGTGGGTTGGACGGAGAGGAGAAGGAGAGAAGTAGAGGGAGAGAGACTACATGAAGCGGATCTGTCACCTGTGGGTCTATATGCCTTAGGCACCCAGGCACCCAACACCAACTCTTTTCCTCTCTTCTCTCTCCGTCCTTCTGCTCTCAGACGAATCCTACCGTGTTGTTTCTCCATCTCTGAATCGCAACTCCGTAGGATCTCTGTTAGGATCTGCCAGTTATCTACTTACGAGGTACGAGGAGTTTATCATGCCTGAGGCACCAATTCGGCAACCTCAGGCCACCACCACAACAAAAGCTTGGGAGCACATCAAGTACCCCGCATTGCACGAACATTATCAAGACACTTGTGTCCCTGGGTGATGATTGTCATGACGAACATGCAGTACGAAGTGAGTTGCTCTATCGATCCCTGATGTGACAACTGTTGACTGTTCCAGGATGCTATCGAGCTTCTCAATTCCAGACGTAGCCGTGCGCAGCCGAGTCTCACGCAGATGAGAGGTTCGGATGATATGACAAAATGGCTGGGATTATTAGGTTATTCTGTACGCCTTGGCCAAATATACCACGAAGTGCAGCTGCTAACATCGCACCAGCAAACTCAGCTGGGAACGTTAAATGTCATACATGTAGCTGGCACCGACGGGAAAGGAAGCACCTGCGCATATATCTCGTCGATACTCCAGAGCTCCGGGTGTAAGGTAGGACTCTACACTTCGCCACATCTTCTGAGCATCTGTGAGAGAATTCGTATAAATGGCAAGCCGATAGAGGAAGACGCCTTTGCGAGTGCTTTTTTTGAAATATAGGATAAACTGCCCCGTGAAGCTAGTGCCACGATGGACATCCCCCGATACCTCCAGCTCTTGACCCTTCTCTCTTTTCATGTCTTTCTCAAAGAAAAGGTTGACGTTGCAGTATATGAACCTCACATGGGTGGTCAGGACGATGCGACGAATGTCGTATCATCACCCGTTGTTACAGCGGTGACTCGAATAGGAGAAGACCATGTCAAATACCTTGGGCCCTCTATTAGAGACATCGCTTGGCACAAGGCGGGGATCTTTAAGTCTGGTTCTCCGGCCATCTTATCACCCCAAATTGAAAAAGTTGCTAAGGTTCTTGAGCAACGTGCGAAGGAGAAGAATGTGGCGCTGTTGTTTGTTGAGCCTGATTCATCATTACCAGTGACAAGATTCCAGAAGGAAAACTGCTCACTTGCGAAAGAAGTGGCTCAGACATGGTTATCACTCAGGCAACCCAATAGATTGACGAACTTGACTACATTTATCAGCCGTGGTATTGGGTTATTTGACTGGCCTGGCCGTTACCAGCAGATAGAAGAAGGCAATCACAAGTGGTTTCTCGACGCTGCTCATAATAAATCAGGGCTACCCACTGCAATATCATGGTTTGCCGAGATGAGCAAATCACAAAGGTAGGCATGATCACCTCGACAGATACTTCGCGGTGGCATAGTGCTTATTTTGATAGCCACAATATCTACCCCTTGAGGATACTCATCTTCAGCCATTTCTCAGATCGTGATAGCGTCGAACTCCTACGCGTTGTTAAAGAATCCCTTGATAGGGAAGGTCTCGAAATCAAGCACCTGATATTGACCACGTACAACGAAAGACAGGACAGACAGACAAGAATTGGTATCTATGCTTAAAACACCGCGAGAAAAATATGGACCTAAGCTGATCTTGTCCTAGACAGAAATCTCAAGGCTCGATCTTCAGTGGAGAAGCTACAAGTGTACGCCCATACTTGGAGAGCATACAAACCTCGTAGTACGGTACATTGTGAAGGGACAATTGAAGGTGCCCTAGAGCGGGCTCGTATAATTGGTGGGATTTCCCAATCGGCACACGTTTTGATAACAGGGAGCTTGCATTTAGTGAGCGGTGCACTGGGGATTCTTGAGACCCAAGGGAACTAAAGAGAGCTCCGTATCATAACGCAAGATATAAGTCTAGGCTATGGAAGAAATCTCTTCGAAAAAGTACGTTCCGTTCCCTGCCATGAAGTAGCCACGGGATATCTCCGAAAGGAGCTCAGTAGCCAGAGCCCTCTTCACGACAGAGTGAAAAAGGTTGATAAATGCAAAGTCAAACCCACGAGTTATGAATGTCGAATAATCCTCAACCAGCGCCGTTGCACGTTTAAGCCTTTCGTCAGCACCTAAGTGCATGCCTTCATACCAATCCACTCGTGCTAGGCTAATGAGCGTGCGGACGTGGCCCAGTTGGTCAGTTATATCATGGTGATTCAAGCTCTCGTAAACCTAGAGTGTCTCCTCTAAGGTGTGTCTTTCTGCGTTAAGCTGTCTTAAATTGATGTAAGCCTCCGCTAGCGGGAGTGCCAGACGCCGGAATGCTTTCAACTGCTGACTTCGCGTACGCCTTAGTCGTTCCACGTCGTCCAGGACCAGATCTTTCGCCAGGTCGGCACATCCCAACTCACAGTAGATATCAGCGAGGTGAAATTGAATATAGCGGTAACTAGGGTCACCGTCACGCAGGCAGCGCTCAAAACATTCCCGAGCATACAAGAACCTCCCTGTGTATCTGGCTACTCGCCCGAAGACGGTGTTGAAGAGTCGGGTCAATTTGATCTCCATTATTGACCGAGGATCACTTCTGCTCTCCCAGCGGTCCACGTATTGCCATGCGCGCGCAAAGTCATTCCGCATTATCGCATTTTCCGCCCGTGAAAAGACTAAGCGGCCGTACGCACAATGCAATCTGATGTCCGGATCTGAGTATGGGATCTCCGGAACCTGGCGGAAGATGCTGTCCAGAACTGTATCCGACTCGTTATGGTTTCCCTCCCACCGGAGAGAAACACTCTGTTGCCAGGTAAGCATCGCTGCCAGGTATGGAGGTATTAATGGAAATTGCAGCCTGCGTACTGTCGACACAATTGACTTTGCATGAGCAGCATCGGTCAGCCTACAAGCCGATAGAGACGCCTCAATAAAGCTTGTGCCGACACTGTACGGAAGGCATAGGGTTTCGCCTTCCCGAATACATTCCCATAGTCGATCCATTACCGGGAGTAATAGCGTACCGATCACACGGAACCTAGCGGGGTGTTAGTGGTGTTGGGTCCATGTTCAATAGAGTGGCATTCTTACGACTGTTCCAAAGCATGGTCGCGGGGGTAGATATATGCTACGAATGTGAGGAGAGCTATCCACAATTGCCGCGATTTACGATAACGGCCACAGCTTTCAAATCCGCCCGTAAGTGTGTAGCATTGAGTTTCATCCTCGAGCGTGACCTTTTTGATCAGTCCAGCGTTGGTACAGCCATATATCTCCTGATTCAAAGCATCTTCATCAACGAAAAGTTCAGCGAACTCCCCGATGTCTGTCTGAGAGGCGGTTGTCCGATTACCATTGTGGTCCCACCGGTATTGAGGCAAAAGCCCTCGTCGCAGGATGTCTTCACGGACGAAATCGCGGCCCATGAAATCAACAAGAAGTAGGAATTGGCTCCTTTTAGTGCCACATGTACTAACGTCAATCGGGTGGTGTTCATCTGACATTAAATCAGCATTAGTAACAGCATTGAAGTTCCCACATGAATCCAACTAACATCTACTAACCTTCGTTCATTACAGTAGCATGCCAATTTTGGCCGCTACAGTAGGTAGAAGTTCGCTCTAGGTCTCCTGGAGTCCGCGCACCGACCGGGAGGCGCCTTATACCACCAGATGGCAATGAGGTGAAAGCACAGTCATCAATTGGATCCTCAACCAATCTGTTCCAATAACTTGCCAGCTGAGGACAATACAAAAAAGACTCGTTCTGAAGTATATCTTGGCCGATGCGTTGGACGATTTTGGCGAGCTGAAACAGTGTAAGTCTTGTTCGTTCATACCGGCCGACTGTGCCAAAAATGCAAATGAGCAGCATAGCATAAGCAGGACCGAAACGCTGCTTAGTAAAAGTGACCATTTCTTTGTACTTGCAGTCTCCCCAAATCTTTCCTGCACGGATTGGTTCCGAAAATCCGTTGCGCAAGAGTTTGAGGAACTCAGCATCGCCCTCTAAATCTTCGAGATTCTTTTTAACCTGCATGTTTACCAGTAGCGAAAGACCACTTTGCTTTATTCCTTGTGCTTTTTCTTCGACATATGAGAAGATCGTTTTCAGCTTAGTCCCTTCGTCGAGCTCGAGTGAATATTGGAAAAACTTGGCCTCAAGCCTCAACAATTCTTTCTCCTGTACATCAAGCCTATAGTTGTCACACCAGTAAAACGAGCCTGCCGGCGAATTGATCTGAACCCCGTAGGCATTGTCCTTCGAAATGATTGGTAACATGATATGGGTGTAACTGCTGCCGCGGGTAGAGTGACACGACGACTGGTGTAGGCAGCGCAGTGAATGCGCACACAGGAGTAGGTCGGACTAGAGCAGTGGATGCCCAGAGTGAGCAGTGGATGCGCAGAGTGTGTAGTGAATGCGCAGAGTGAGCAGTGGATGGCTCAAATACAGCCCCTTACGCACAGACCTGCTCTTCTTTAATGGGCGCAGAGAGGAAGGTTGTCCACATATTGTGTGGGCAGGGTTCTGTCGTGATCCGAACTTTCAGTTATGGAAAGGGGCTCCATATCATATCATGCTAGGTACGTCCGATCTAAGCTACCAAATAGAGCAAGTACTTTGTAGTAATAGGTGACTAGTATATATTATAATAACGAATCCGCGATAATCGCTATCTATATGTTATAAAACGAGTCCATTAGTCCTACCCCCTCCCCCCGCCCCCCAGATTTTACGACATGGCGTTTGGGAATGTCATATAACCAAACAACGGGCGCCGATCAGAGAACTACTATCCCACTGATGGGAGTACACTTAATATACTCCGTATCGTCACCATAAATCTAGACCGATTAGCGCTCCCACTACCAATAATAACCCGGCGCCACCGGGATTCATGCACCGAATGATTTCTGTATGTTCACCGATCATAGGACTAGTACTCAGGGATGATGCATCTACATGCAAGTGATGCTCATTTTCTCGACATGGAGCTAAGTCGACTGCGAGGTATATAAGATTCGAGTCCCGATTTCTGAAAGACGTATACGATGGATGCCAACGTTGAGTCTGTCAATCCCGAAGAGAGTATGTTCTTTCCCATCCAGCTTCGGCTCTTAATGTTGTCTTGCTTGATTGGATGTTTACAAAATTACTTGGAGTATTAGACCCCCTCCAAACCCCTTATCCTCCATTTGCAATGCCCCTAGAAAGGCACAGTACGCACGCGGGCCCCGAGTCAGCAAATGAGATCTGGAACTTCCTCAAGACAGTTTTACAGCCGCCACGAGGGTATTCTAACGTGTACCCCGATGCGTCGATGCATTTTATGCCAAGTCTAGTTCACCCTGACCCGAAAATCCACCAGCAGCCGGTGCAGGGCCCATCTCATTACTGCGCTCATACGGGTTACGCGCCGGCAGATCAGATGAGCGGTGCTAGACATACGCATTCTTCACAACGTATGGAACGCTTTTCTGAGGATCACGCATTGCACCCAAACCAACCTAAGCCACACAGAGCTACGCAGGTATGTCGAGCTTATAGAAAACAAGATTCTAAGGCGATTTTGGAGCTAATACGAGCTATATAGGCTTGTGACCAATGTCGAGCTAGCAAGACAAAGTGTGATGAGGAACGTCCGAGTTGTGGTCGCTGCGACGTCAACAATCTTGGCTGTGTCTACAAACAGGTCCCGCCGCACAAACAGGGGAATAATGAGCGCCTAGTATTGGATCTGCTCAGTCAGATGGAGAGACGCATGGATGAGCGTTTCGAAAAAAGGCAGAAGCAAATACAAGAGCAACTTAGCAACATGGGTGATGTGGGTCCAAAACCAGCTCCCACTGTCCAAGAACGTCTAAACGGCCTAACACCGATTATCAAACAGAACCTGCCGCTCCAAACTGAGATGCCTCAGATTCAGGATGTACTTGGCTCAAAACCCACCCGGAATATTGAAGCCATAGACCTAACCCTTGACCACCAGGAGACTGAGGGAGAGCTCTCCATCCCAGTGGACCACACTACTGCAGCTCACAAGCTACTGATGTGGCCGTCAATTAAGAGATTGTTACACCCTGTGGTATATGACGAGGAGTATGTGATGCGGTTAGAAGAAGAGCGTGGTCTAATTAGCATATATGGCCAAGGTGAGACCTCATACACTGCCGACGACAGTCAATTCCTAGACAATCGCTCTATTAGCTCCAACATGACCAAGCCCCAGGGTAATGGCGCAGGATCGTATCATGATGTTAAGATCGATGAATTTGGCAACTTGAAGCTGGATACTGGGACTGCTAGGCGCTACTATAATAGCTACCTCGAACACATGTTCAAGCTTCACCCATTTGTTATGGAGGGTGAACTCAATGTCAAGGTTGGTAGCTTCATCGGGTGCTATGCGAGACCGGGTTCCAATGACACGCGACTATCTTGCCATGGTCCACCATCAGTTGAAAGGAAGCCATCAAACGAAAACCTGGGCGTGTATGGCGAGTTTACGGATAACCCACCGCGGCCACGAGTCGGTAAAAACATTGACAATGCCTTGGTCATGCTGTGCCTGGCCCTCGGGGCTATTTGCGAAACTCGTGCTCCACTGCCTGGGCCTATCAGCCAACCCATTCCTAGTCCGCGACCACCATTTACCCGCCCACCAACTATAAATGAGACATTTACCCATGGTATCCTCTCCCCCTCAAACTCCGACTCTACGGCAATGCAGGTTTCGAATTCGCATTCTGTCTATGCTGTTCCAATGCATCTTACCCTATCTTTCCCATTGGTCTTAGGCCCACATTTGAAAGGAGTGTCAAGGAGAGATATGACAACGACGCGGGATGAACAAGGAAACACGAAAAACCATCAAGTCATTCCTAGCCTGGCTCTCTATGGATACGCAACCGCAATACTAGGCTACCTACAGGGTGGAAACGACCTAGAACATATTCATACCGCGTTGCTTGCTGGACTTTATGCAGGTCAATTGGCCCATCCTTTCCAGAGCCATAGTTGGATTTCTCAGGCCTGTAGAGCCTGCCAGGTGCTTGTGAGAACCAAGCGACATAAGCGGCTCGAGGAGGGGCCTACACGGGACTTACACAACTTTGCATACTGGACATGTTTGCAATTGGAGAGTGATCTTCTCGCAGAGTTGGATATCCCAGCGAGCGGCATCTCCCTCTCCGAGGATCGGATCCCTATTCCGAAAGGAAAATGGTCAATCGTCCAACCAAATGATCCTCAAAACACTATGATGATGATGCTGTTCTATTCTGCTCAAATTCACCTGCGCAAATTGCTCAATCGAGTCCATACATATCTATACAAGTCCAAAGCCCAAGGCAAGACAAACTGGTCATCTACCGTCCAAGGGGCGTTGAGTCTAAATCTCGACCTCTGGCGTAAAAGCTTACCGCCAAGCATGCAGTGGGAAGAGGCCGACCCTCCAGCAAACGAAATCAACGCTGCTCGAATGCGTGCCAAATATTACGGCGCTCGATATATCATCCACCGACCCTTTCTCTACCACGCACTGCACTACGGCCATACAGGTATACGCATCGGTCCAGTCGGCCAACTTTTAGTCGACTCACCTCCCTCGCCGCGTATATCTACTGACTGGCAGTCTCCTGAAGTCCGTTTAAACAATCTGCCGAAGAAGCTGAGAGCTGCCTGCGATATCTGCGTCAAATCGGCTATCAAATGCACGGAGGTCTTTGACGGTGTAGACGGAGACCGGTTGATAGTCACCAACATCTTCGGCACTGCCCATGCGTAAGGAATCCTCTTAACACCCATTTGAAATAACCACAGATATAGAGATGGTACTAACATTATTACTTCACAGTCAGTTTGGTAACATGCTCGTCCTATCTGCAACTTATATGTCAGGTCTAAAGGAGCTCGTGGAGAAAGACCAACTCGACCGTCTCCTCACACGCACAATAGGCTTCCTAGCCCAAAATGAAAACGTATCCCCCACTCTCCGCGCCGATGCTCGCATTCTCACTGAGGTCCACCGGATTATCTTCGGCCATCTTCCTGGTATGGGGTAAGCCACCAGCATAGGCTCCCCTAAAAGTACATCGTCAGGATTTGGGATTTCGAGTGGTGGCTGCATTCTATATACAGGGTGGATTTGCATACTAGGGGTGCACCAGCAGTTGTCGTTGTCGGGGGTGTCGCTGCTGGAAGGCTATGCGGCATAGGAACATGTATGTAAAGCGAGCTAGTTACATGGAATCAATGAGAGTATCGTCATCGCTAGACCATTCTGACCAGGCGGAAAATGTCGGCCATAAAATATATGACTTCTGGAATTCTATACTTCATGCCTATTGAAATCATCCCTAGATTTTCATAGTTTGGATTTTCTACTTTATGCACTAGCCTTGCTTGAAGCAATATTTTGAAAATTTCTAGATAACTCCCTGATAAAACCATTTGTGGGTGTTACCTAAAAGGCAAGTTCGCTATCGTAGAAGTTCTTGATGAAGAAGGAAAAAATACAATGAACTAACATCTATGGTATACTATTCTCAAAACCCTCATCACGTTTAACTTAATCCAATAGTCTCGTCACAATGATCATTCAATCTAGGGAGCCGTGTCTAGTTCCTAGGGCCTAGCTATATTAACGCCTAGAATAATAGTATCCGACCCTATAATCGTGGCTATTTCTCAGGCTCCCTTTCCGGAACCGAACGCTGATTCCCCATTACCCGTTGCTACCATAGTAGGCCACTATCCTACCTCCACCTATCCACTCTCGAGTAACAGCTGCACTGCCGCCTCATAACCACCTCGGGTGGCCTATGGCAATCGGGCCCAGCCCGTGGGGTCCAAGGGATTCGCGACGACTGGCTTAGGCAGCGCAGTGAATGCGAACGCAGGAGTAGGTCGGACTAGAGCAGTGGATGCGCAGAGTGAGCAGTGGATGCGCAGACTAGGCAGTGGATGCGTAGAGTGAGCATCGGATGGCTCAAATACAGCCCCTTACGCACAGACCTACTCTTCTTTAATAGGCGCGGAGAGGAAGGTTGCTTAGGGGAAGTAGGGAAATTAACATTTTCAAAAACAATTCTCGTAATGTATTGCGTCGACAGGGTTCTATCGTGATCTAAACTTTTAGAAAAGACTAGATTACGATTTTGTTACTCTATAGGTACGTTGTGAAGACCCACTATGAAGGGTCTTCATGGAGGGGTAAGATCAGAGTGCCAAGGGCATATACAATACGAATTACTACTGCGAAGCAATTGCAACTAGTACTGCGTATGTATTCAAACTGAACTCTGATCCTTTGTCCATAGTTCCAAATCCACTAGTTATGCAATGTGCGCGACTTAAGCGAGATCATGTGTATTGGACCCATATATCTCTTTGCATGGTGCAGGACGTGACATACGTCCGATCCAAACTACCAAGTAGAGCAAATACTTTATAGCAATAGGAGACTAGCAAGTATTATAATAACAAAATTGCAAGAGTATGAAATGCCAGGGGAGTGTCAATAAATACCAGGAAGATGCCAGGGAATGGTCTAGATAGTGTCAGGAAAGTGTGGACAAACCAGGAAAGTGTCAAGTGGAGCGAGGAACATGCTGTTAGGTCGAATGGGGCTGACTAAGGATTTAACGGGCCTCCACACGGCCCGCAGTCTCCTACTAGAATCGTATTAGTGCGATTTGCCAGGCGTGCATCTCAGCCAATCGGCTCTTGCAATTCCGAGGAGCTCCTTATGTGGGGCTCACACAGTCACTGAGACGACCAACCTGGGGAATTCGTTGACGGTCCCGAGAAGGCAAGGACGGAAGAACATTAATCCTTCCGCTCAACAAGTAATGACAAACTTCACATTCAATCAAGACTTCATCTTTTCACATATGCACAGGAAGGCCAGCAACATCCACTTATTGTCACACCTTTTCGGCGCACATACTTTCATTCCTATTCCTCACTATGGACGACTCAACTCAACAGATTCGCAGCCACGTCATGGGCCAAATTCGAGGGATATTGTTCGAGTTGCCCCCAGAAGTTGTTGCAGGAACGATGCGAATACTAGGTGATACTCCCAATAGTATTCTTGATCCGAACAATTATTTAAAATCCATACGTCCATTTGCCTGGAAAGTGCAGGACGGCCTCCATCAGTACGATAAGAATAATACGACTCGTTTCCTTGCGGTCACGATCTACCCCGGAAAGCACTCCTATTTTGTGGTCGACCTAAACAACACCGATTATGACTACCAAAACGCCCATGAATGCAAGACGCCAGTACCGGTCTATGTCCTCCGCTTATCGAAAAGAAAACCCACGATTTCCCGAAAACCAGAGTTGGATGGACAAATCGCAGAGACTCTTCGGGCCATGCACTTTTACCATGGCCAGGACCCTCTACCTTTGTTTGACAATTACTGCGACCAGAATAGTTATTACGGCAACCCACGGAGCCTCCAACAATGATCCTGGCTTATTCGGTCTGGCAGTGACCACGATGATGAAAGAACCTTGCTGTTACCCCGTTGTTTATTTAAAGCCACCATTAACTACTTTTGCCAAGGAGGATCAGCCTTGAGGTCAACAAGTTAATGTAGCTAGCTGGTGCGCCGTATCAAGTATTCCGGCTCCTTCATCAATCGCAAAGTAAGATAAATCACTCAGAGTAGGATAAATCACCTAGGTTCGGCGCGAGACCGACCAATAATCTAAGGAACCCCTTGGCCCTTAGACTCTTCACTCCATGTGTTCTGATACCGGCATCCACGACCAACCCGAATCTGCCACATCCATCACATCGTTCCGGTCTTCCCAGCCACTCGAACATATATTGGACATACCCAATGTAATTTTCAAATTAGCGCGCTTAGGCCTCCAGGCCTTCTATATAAAGGGTCTTATTACCCATCTCGTCCGCAGTCCCTCATCTTCACCCTTATACATTTCGGGTTCACGAGCAAGTCTTTTCCTCCCAGAAAAAGATATCTTAGAATCAGGGATAAAGCAAGGTTTGACTACGCAGATTCTCATCAATATTGAACTTACTCTAATGCCCGTGGCAGATGTGTTCTTGGTTGCAGATTTTATACCAAGGTTGTGGATGCCTGAGCTTTCCAGCAAGGCAGGGGCGCTTGAACGGATGCAACGGACAATGTACTCCCGCTACGCAACAACCTACACAGGCTGCCAGGGTTGAAACCGATCCAGGATCATGCCCTATCCACACTCACAAACCGACACCGTCGAGCAGTGAAGACTCCTTCAATTAAACCAGGTCCACGAGAGCAGGTACGTTATCATATTTTCGACATCATGAGATTTGTGACTCTAAAGCATCGCTTATTATAGGCGATGAAAGCACTTCGGCTCTCTCTCTTTTATAGACAAGACAAATGGAAGTGAGAACTACCTGTTGAGATCTGATGGTCGCGGTCTCATGCTACACTCACCTGACGACTTGGAAGTCTGCTGTAGTCGACGCCTTACCACTTGTTCTGTCTTCCTCCAACTTTACAATGACCAGCTGCCCAACAGTGAGGTCTGAAGAATGCACTGCTTAGGTTGAGGAATGACAATGTCAACTACGTGCTTAGCCTCCAGTCCTCCATCACATTTGATGTAATTAGACTCTTCGGAGGGACCACCTGACAACGGATCCCCATCTAAGGAGCCCCTCTCATCTCAAGTAATATCCACTGCCGAGCCGTGGATACGGCCGGATCCGCTCTATCCCATAGCCGCAGCGGCGTCGTGGGGCTCGTCCTGAAATAGTCCATGCCAAGATATGCATGCTCCCATCCGATATAATGCAAGCGCTGTCACAGACCTAGGCTTGAGACCATTACGGTATACACATAGGCTCTCTCTGGGGCTAGTCCCGTTTGTAGCCAATTAAAGTCTCCCAAAATCAGCAAGGACGGAATAAGCCCTTAGTAAGTAACGAAGAGCACGGACGTTCAATTACCAACGAGATAGCCAGGGCCAAACCAAGCGCTAGCACCGACTCCTGAACCAGGGCAATTACATAACACAACGGTGATACCCTGCGTACTGAGACACACTGAGATGATTGAAGATCACACGAGCCTGTGCCTTCGGCTGCAGCAAGCCCTTGCCAATGGTAGCCAATCAAACACGTACGCGTTAGAGAATAAACAATATCCTATTACGTAGGCGGAGATTTATCCCAGGAGCATTGGTATTGTCACTACTCCGAGACTGCTTTAGTATTCTAAGGAGTTAGATAGAAATGCTTTATTGTTGCTCAACGTATTTGGTATGAAGTTTGAATGCTCAACGGCCCGCTCTTTATTGGACGAATACAAATTGGGAATAGTATGGTGGAGATTATCGTTTCAAACTTGCTCCAGGCTCATTTCGCCATAATATTCCTCCAATAGCTACCTCAGCCATTGTCAAGCAGCAGAAAGATGAAAAGAGTTCGAGGACGAGGAGAGGGCCTACAACATATTGAAGGATCTTCAAGGAGAAGTGATCCCAACCTTCTATGGACGCGGCCAATTCGATGGGGTTCCTGCACTCATTCTGTCAGAACTCCATGGCATAAATTAGACGACCTGGCTCGCAGCAACGATCGCAGGGCTCCGGTAGAATTGTTGAAAGCTTACCTGGAAAGGGTCTTTGATGAATTTTCGAAGCATAGAGCTTTGTATCGAGACCAGAAACTCGATAACTTCCTACTTTGTGACGAAGGAAAGGTGATGGTTGTTGATATGGAGCAAGTCGAGTTCCCGGCTCAGCTTCGTCACTGGCAATATTCTATCAATCAAGAGGGTGCCAGATCTTTGGTAGAAGATTTTACGTACTTACGGAGACCCAAGCGTGAATCATCCCCACTTGCTTTCTGGATGTCTGCATGTGATGAGAATGCACTGGAAGACGAACTACTTGAATTTGCGTCTGCTAACTTCCGAGAGCGCATTGGAAAGCCGGCTTCTACGGCAGCCTAAGGCCAAGATTCAGATGTATACTTAACCGTGCAACTTGATCATCGTTTCCACCGTGCAAATTTCAGAAAAGGATGTGCACTACGATTACAGTATCATTAATTTCAGTATACGACGTAGCCCAGCGCTGGACGGGTAACGCACATACTTGTATTGGCACATAACTAACGTACTCGGCAAACAAGCTGCGGGTAAACTAAATTCAAAGCTTGGGATCATGTTTCCAGCCCGGCAGATCAGCGAGATCTTTCGCCGGGGCAGCGCGTATAGATTTGAGAGCATCACCCCCAGGTCTCCACATCCAAGGATTAGCTAGGTTTGGTGGAAGAGATCCTTCTATCAGCTCAACGACATGTTTGCCGATGTTGGGAAGCATCTTAAAGCTATGACTGTAGTATGCGGAGTTAGCAACGCGTTGACTGTATGAACACCGAATTTTGATGATTAACTCACCCGCTGTCTCCCGTTGCCAGAATGAAGTTTTTCCACTTGGGGTGCTCGCAGATCAGTAAATTGGCGTCGGCAGTATCTGTGCACCAGCACATAGACCGGTTGAAAAGCTCTCTATCCTTGAATTGGGGCATGAACCTCGCAATTGCCTTTCGAATGGTTACCTCGGAAGCTTCAGGGTAGGTATCTGTAGGATGGTCGGCGTGTGATCGAGGAACAGAGATGGGTTTGGGAGAGGCCGCGCCATAAGGTTGATGCAGCTTGAAGCGAGAGAATCCAGGAAACTCGTCGCAGACTTTGATCACTCCATGTCTATAGATGAGGACTTAGCACGCGACTCTGATTTCTCCGACATTGGATCAGGAGGGACTACTTACTCGTTGGGTTCGAAAAAGAAGCCGTATTCGCCATCGTATACCACGGGGATATTTTTGTACTTGGTCACTTCCTCGGGTGTGAGCTGGATATGAGCGAAGACCCACGCCTGCACGAATTGATAGTTAGCAACTTGATTCCTTTGAATCAGAATGCATTTGTGAAACGTTCGCCTTTTATCTTTTGAGACTTCAAGGCTAGGCAAGAAGGATATCCTGAACTTACTTTCGAAACACATTGATCCTCCAAATCTACCAATGTTGAACTCCAAGCACCAGCAGCCAAGACCACCTTGTCAGCGTGATATTTAGTGCCATCTACGGTCTCCACACCGTTGCATGTAATTCCATCCGCGTTAAACAGAGGTCGCTTGAAAGTTCCGGATCTATGCAATTTCGGGTTAGTAAAAACTTGCTGAAAACTTGCCGAAGGGTCATTACATACTTGCCAAATCCAAAATGGACACCTTGATCTTTCAAGAATTGTCCGATCGCATTGATGGCCTTGGCTGCAGCAAGCCAACCTCCATCGCCACAAAATAAGCCTTTCCACCCCTAAAATCACAATTTTATTAGTCATTCTCCTTCAATTGTGGACAAACGTAGCATACCTTGACTTGCTCTCTTGTAAAGGCTGGTACCTTTTCAAGTATATCATCTTCGCTTTCTAGCAACCAGTTCGTCTTTTCTAACCCAATGTTCGCGTCGATGAGTGATTGGTAGTGTTTTCGAAGATCTGCAATACCGTCCTTAGATGACGAGGCGTCAATCTAAGAATGTTATTAGTACGGAATTGTTGCATTCTCAAATGGCATTTCTTTTTATTTTAAACTCACCATTCCGACATTGTGAAAGAAGGGCTTGAACAGTGGATCGTTTTTCCACATGTCAAGAGCCTCGAGAGAAAGTTGCAGATCTGGCCCATTGCGTAACCGAATGCTCATAATTTTGTTAAGATCATATCCTGCCGATTGAGCCGAAGGGATGGGATAGACATCAAGCACTGTGATATTTGAGGGAGTGTACCCAGAGCGAATGAGATGTAAGGCAGTTGAGGAACCCATGGTGCCACCTCCCCCGACTACCACCACTTTTGTAGTTGTACGCGAATGGGCCATTTTTTGGGAGTGTACTTAGTGCAAAGTGCGAAAATTACTGAGGTAGACTTGTTCAAACCTAGAAGAAGGGGGGATAAATAGGGTGGTGAAATTAGGAAGTTGAAGCTTGTAAATTGTCAAGAAACTGGGTTGAAACGCCGACATCTTATGCTTATAAAGATTATAAAGAGATATGTTAAAATGAATGTGATTGGTGCCAAGTGGAAATTATATCACCGAACAGTGGGACTACATTTCGCGTGGACCTTCCATCGCCCCGAACAAATACCGAGAGATGTGGATTCCATTGGAAAACGCGGGGAATTGACCCGCCAAAAGATAAAGAGATAGCCCTTCTAAGCTTGTACGTTATCGACCCCGGGTTTGGTTATCATTTTGATACGGTTATTAGCATAATATAGCCGAAGATTACGGATGAATGCGTGTTTTCGCGTGGACCTTCATGACCCCAATGGCACTTCGCGCGGGGAACATGCTGATCAGAGGAGATAAGCTCACTGAGTTACGGCATATAAATAAGAGACCAGGTCCGGCAATATCAAGGATATTTATCAAAACGGTGAAAGCGCTATCATAGCACAGCCTATTTATTATAATGGCCGACAAAAAGACTTCTGTCTCAGATCCACACGATGATACTCCTTCTTTTTCGGAGAATGTGATCGGTCAATCTTCAGTGATTGATATGGAGCACTACAAGGCCACCGTTCCGTTGTGGAAGCGAGTATGGCAGCACAGTTTGACACAGATGATGCTTTTGAGTATCCAGGCATTCTGTGGACCAGCAATGGCTGATGCAATTACCGGTAAGAACGATTCATCATTATACAGTGGTATGGAGGTTTTTTTTGCTAATGTTTTGCAGGACTCGGTGGTGGTGGTCTTGCCTCTCCTCAGGTGTCAAACATTTCGAAGGCAATCATGTATTCTATGCTGGCAATCGGTATGTATTTCCATTGCTCAACATCAGTATTTAAGTCATTAACTCAGGAAAGTCTGCTTCTTCGGTGGTCCTCTCGTAAACAAAATCGGCATCAAGTGGGCACTTGTTATCGGATCAATGTCCTTCCCGATTGAAGGCTCAGCATACTACTGCAACAGCAAATTTGGAAACCAATGGGTGAGTGTTGAAGTTTCTGTAATTTTTATTCCAAAGATCTGACAAATCTCTCTCCCCTTAGTACCTCATCCTGAGTGGTGCTATCAGCGGTGTAGGGACTGCCTGCTGGTATGTCGCTGAAGCTGGAGCCGTCATGACACTTGCCCCCTCCGGCGCCCGTGGAAAGTATCTAGCTCTGTGGATCGTTTCAAGAAATCTTGGACAGTTGGTTGGGGGTGCGATCAAGTGAGTTTATACCTTAGCTTTCAAGGTCTCGGTTAATGGACAGTTCTGACTAACTTTCGCTCTGTGCAGCCTGTCTAAGAACTATGAAAAAGGTGTCAGTGGCGGAGTTACTGCCGATACCTATATTGCCTTCGTGATCATCGAGTGTCTTGCGTGAGTGCTTCGAAAACAGCCTGGAACATGGAATACCTTGAGCTAATAATATTTAATAGGCTACCATTCGCGTTGTTGATCACTCCCTTCGATCGCGTTGTCCGGTCTGACGGTACAAAGATTGTCACTTCGGAAACTCTTTCCACCAAGATGGAAATCAAGCGCATTGCAAAGACCATGACTTCAAAACTTCTCATGTGTTCTTCGATTTGGGCATTTTGGTCATTCTTTTACTCGTAAGCCTGTCATTATCATGCTCATTAAAAGGTGATAACGCTAACAAATTTGAAAGTGGTACTTGGAATACATATCTGGCAACCTATTTCACCGTCCGCGCTCGCACTCTCTCATCGCTCATTTCTCCTTTCTTTTGCATGTAAGTCAAGTGTTCGGAAATTATACCATTAACGGCAACTAATGATGGTGGTTATTAGCATTGGCTGTTTTGGCCTCGGATTCATTCTCGACATGAAAGGTCTCAGTCAGCGCCGTCGTGCCCAGATCGGTCTCTACATCGTCGTCATCCTCAATGTCGGTGTCTATATCTGGTCCATTATTATGCAGGTTAAGTTCAACCACAACGATCCTGGTGCCATTGATTGGGACGATAGCCTGTACCCTTCGTCGTTCCTGCCATATTTCTTTGTGCAGACTACCGGTCCGCTATCTCAGTCGTACATGTATTGGCTTTTGTCATCTTTCGCCACCGACGCACAGGGTAAGTGACTCCATAGACTCGAATCCGAGTCCATACCGGCATTGGACGCTAATAACAATGTTAGAAAACGTTCGCAATGGTGCCGCATTCAGATGCATCGAGGCTGTTGGCCAAGCTATTGCCTACGGAATGAATACGCAGACAACTAATAATCCGTTGGTTGGATTGTAAGTTCAATCAATCTGAATCCATCTTTCTTGACGAAAAGCTAACTGACCGGATTCAAGCTGCGTGACATTCGCCCTACTCGGAGCATCTTTACTCCCCATGATTATGCTTGTGAACACAACACCAGAATGTGTTCCTGCGGACTTAGTTTCTGCAGAGCAAAACGCTGCTAGTGAGAAGGTTCGAGATGTTTAAGCCCGCTCTCAGCAGGGGAATGTCCACAGAGAACCAAATTTGCAAGTTAAAGTGAATAATTAAATACACGCACACATTTCTATTTTGATGACAATCCTTGCCCCTTTAAATTAAGGCAAAGAAGTGTCCTATGTAAAGACCAGCTGTTGGGGTTGGGTTTTGATGCCAAATGTGTACAGAGCAACCGAAGAAATACTCAACACTTCTCACAATGAGCTAATTTTCGTAGAACAGGGTTGTTCAGACGTAAAGTTCCCTCAAGTCCTACCTTATACGCCGCCTTATCATCCCTCTCGCGTTCACCACGTATTCATATTGCAGGTCTTATCTTTGTTGTAGTCTCTTTCGTCGTCTAGAGAATTCTGGTAAGCTAGATGAAGCATATGCTGAGCTTGAGGAAAGGTACGCTTGAATAACAGCGAGGACCGAAGCAGAACTCTTAAACCGAGGAAGAGAAGGAAGATATTAGTGTCTGGTGCCGGTGGCTGCTGGAGGAAGAGGAGGAAGTGGTCGAATATTTAACCTATAGATTATAACATTTATGTTTTTCTACGCTCATGTGGCATGTGACGAGTTTAAAAATGATCATGAACAGTATCTTCTGACTTGTGTAGCCAATAGATATTACGACTCGACATATCTACTGTTTGCAATTGCGGTGCGTGGCGGGCAGGCAGGTAGACAGTGTGTGAACTACTTTCTTTGTCTTTATAGCAACAAGGGACATACCATACAGTGCATGCACATATGAGGTTTTTCTTTATTTTGGAATGACATCCTATCGAATTTGTTAAAATAGAGCAATAATTGCTGCATCGTGACTGTCCCTCCGTGGTTTGATTGATGCCCTAAAATGTGAGTCCTGGGATCTGGTAGTCTCCATTGCTATTGTCTCTTTTTTTGCATTTACTATTTGCGATATCGGTAAGGTTCGTCTCTACTGTTAACTTAAGTCAATCTTCTCATATAAGTTCTCTTGTGGGTAGTTTTAATCACAAAGATATTGATCGTAAAGTAGTCAGCCACCTAGAGATAAATGGATAACACTGGCATTGTCAATCATTTGTCGAGGTCTCACCCTAACCTACACTACACCTTTGCACCAGCACATCAAAACAATACCCCATGTGACGATTCCTTCCACCTGTTTCAAACATGATACCACAACACCTTTCGTCAGAGTCTGTAGGTCCACTCCCTTGCCATAGTGAGTGTACAACTCAGAAGGAGACTGACCAAAACGAGACCAGACAAGGTGAGCCAAATCCAACAATGAAAATGTCGACATCACAGCTTGACCAACCAGCTCCACAACAATCCCCGGCTTCACACGCGAGGCATCAAAGGCCCGTTACCAATACCACCGTACAGAGCTTTGGCCTACACCACTACTCTCTTGACGGGCCAGGTGAAATTCCAGGAGACCGCCAATCATCCTCGGCACCCCTGGGTAGGAGAGACAACCGCACCAGACATGACACACATTCTCACCAGTCCACTCGACAGCGCAGTCCCGAGAACGAATCATCCCAACACCCGTCACCTCCACCCCAAATACCTCCAGCTCCAGCAATAAGGTCACTACGACAAACAATCCCAGGATGGCAACTCTCAGACCCCATTGCCATACCACCAAGACGATCTAGTGGCGGAAGCTCTTCTCAGCGTCCATCGGTCCCGTTCTTCTCTGCTAGCTCCTGGGACGACTATGTCTCAGACGATACTATCGCCAACTATCGCGCCATCGGGGCACAATACCAAGCATGGATAGCAGGCCCAACGACAACCTCATGTCCAATCGAACGATCAAGAGTGACCTGGACGGACTTGGTCCACAACCCAGTGGAAGAACACAACTTCGAGGTGTATCTCAACGATTTCCGACCAACACCCGAGGAAGTGGGCAACATTGCCTCAACCGGACTATCGACGGGAAGGAGTTGGCGGTATGTTTATCTGAGGCAATGGGGACGATGGGATGGTGGTCGTCAAGAGGGCTACACTATTTACCAGCACCGTACTGGACTCGGCGCGATCTTCGTTGAGAACATCACCAGAAGATTCGGACCATACTGGGCTCAAGTGGCTCAGGCGCAGTACCAGCTCGATAACCACATCGATACCCTCCGGTATGTTTATTTCATCAACGTTCAGAACCTGTACACCTGGCCCTATGTGGAAAGCCGTCTTTACGCTCGTCATGGCTTGCACTGGTTTGACGACCATGAGCCCCAGTGCTGGACATACGGTACCCGGGCGTATCAGGAGCTTCTGGGTACGAAGCTGGGGAGGGGAGTGGCTCGCTTGGTTCTGGGGGCTTGGCCGAGAGGTACGCATCGTATCGAGACCATTTATACGTGGACCTTCGTCGGAAACCTGCAGATGAGATTTGATATTAAGCGAATTTGATTGATTATTTCAAGCCCATGGGGCAAAGGGATATACTGATCCAACGTAGAGCCAATTATATATGAAGAGGGGAAGCGTTAGCCCCTACGGGTACCCTGGTGGTCTTGACAGAACCTCGAGGTAGAGCATCCATCAGACATGGGAGGTAATAGCGCCACCATGGCTAATAATCGGCCGGAATTATTGTAACACTTTTTAGAACAATATATGATATGTAGTATAACAAGGTGTATGATATATCAGTTAGCAACGGCGCCGAATCCAGTGGACAGGAGAGAACTTGCCGATTTCAACACAAGCTCTATAGTCAAATAAGTTATGAGTCGGCTCATTCTCCAGTGTCATGTTCACATTCAACAATTTAACTGCGCCGCACCTCGCGTTCCTTTATCGTAAAGTCCAACTGCTTTGGCGTTTTATGCACATGACTCGGCGATATATGTATTACACTTAATCTAACGAGTCACAGTATGTATCCCCTCTACCTCAAACACATGCACTCCACCGGATATTCAGGAAGTCAAACAAATAACCTCAAAAGATGAAAGATGTATCACTCGGTCCTCTGCCGACAGAAACACGACGACTTAATGGGCACATCCGCCCAGGCTAAACTAATCTTCAGTTGTGGTAACATGGCACGCGCCTCATATTTCCGACCCATCTTGACCAAACACTCATGATACCCATGCGAAGCCCATACATTACCCGGATGCCTGAACGCACGAGGCAGAGACGTGTCGACTCCAAGGTCCGCAGCATATACGGCCGCAGCCTCCTCAACATGACCCTGTTCGAGCAACAACGCCCCGAGGGCGTGCCTAGTAGGCTGCATCCAGCCCCACGGCTCATCATACGGCAACGAATCATCGCGCCTTACAGCGTCCCGGAGATATGAAAACGCAGCGTTGTATTCCCCACGGCGATACGCAATCTCACCATCGAGCATCGCCTCACCAACAGCAAGGATATCGATACAGCGGTTATTGAAGATCGTCCGCGAAGCCGGGACCAGCTTCATTGCTCGGAGGAACCGTTCTCGTTGTTCCTCTGCTTCCACAACACGGCTGGTAGCAGCAAACGCGATACCCTTTGCGTAATGCATCATAGCAGTGGTGACGCAGTACAGCTCCGCATCTTCCGGTAACTCCACAGCAATGATCTCTTCCCAGCGACCGAATCGCACGAATCCATGCATTTGCATGGCGATAAATCCCTCGAGCCAGTCCGCCATCGGCGGAGACTCAACGCGCAGAAGTGGCTCGGTAATTATCCGCGCGAGCTCGGCCCCAGACTCAAGTGCGACCTTCGACCGGCCGCCCAGCATAGCAGCATACATCCTGAAGTGATAATCGTGCGCACGGTAGAGGTTATAGAAATGGCACAGGGGCTGGTTGGCGAGGAACTTCTCGTCTGCGCGGATTGCAGAGGTATTAGCCGTGACGGCGCGTTTGTACTCACCGCACAAGACATCGATGTGGGACGGCATGTGTTCTAGATGACCAGCATCTGGTATCAGGCCGCGCAAGTACTCTGCTACCGGCAGCGCGATTTCCGGCGTGGGGGACATTTCCATCAGATGGATGTAGAGATGCAAGATTCCGGGGTGATCGAGGGCTTCGTCTCGTTCTAAGACTCGATCTAGCGCTTTTTTTGCTTCGATGGTTTTTGCCCCCGGTGCGACATCGCCGGTTTTTATGTCCCATAGACCCCACGGCGTTAGGTTCATCAGCGCATCGCAGTACAGCGCGGTGACGTCGAGGTCATCTGGGTAATCATTATACACTGATGTCATGGCTTCGGCGTATTTCTTATCCCATTCTGTGCAGTCTTCTACGGGCTGTTCTTGGGGGTATCGATACTCCAGTGCATCGATAAGAGCATTCTCCAGAGGCGTAACAGCGGGGGCGTATTTCTTCGCCTCCAGGATCGCACGATGGGCACGAGTCGTGGTGGCGGAGAGATCATATCCGTCAAAGAGCTCCCATGGCTTGTTATAGTTTGGTCCCAGGGCAAGGGCAATGCCCCAGTATCCCATGGCGCATGTCGGGTCGAATTGGACGACTTTTTCAAAGCATCGGGCGGATTCTTCGTGATTGAAGGCATAGGCCCAGATCAAGCCCCGACTAAACCAGAGTTGAGCATCTTCGCTTGTTGTACTCACATTGCGATGATAGTCACCCAGGTCGTAGTAGTCCTCGGCGGGAGATGGCTGGTTCATTTTTTTGATGGTGGGTTGTTTATGTTGTGTTGGAGGAGGGGTATGGTTGCCCAACGCGATACCCCGGACTCTATCCAACAATTTTGATCACATTTGATCATTTGATACTGGGATAAGCGCTTATAATAAAACGAAGTATATACTTGTGGTTATTTATAAATAGTGACAGATCACAAAAGTCCTGGAGGCGGTGTTCGTTGCCTGAGGAAATACGGCAGCAAGGCAGCAAGGCACAAAGGCACAAAGGCACAAAGGCACAAAGGCACCAACCGGCCCCACATGAGCAGATTTGAGGAACTCCACTTTTAATTTGCTCACTCGTGCTCGATCACTCTCACCTTGAGCACCTTGGGGGCCCATTGAGATTCCTATTTAGATCTGCTTTGTCCTTTTGTCCTTTCTTTCTGTCTTTGTTATCTACAGTCAATATAACAACATATATACATATATATCAACCCTCTTTCATCCCATCCCATTTCATCATCTTCACTCTCTACTTTTATAGATCGTCATGTGTGGAGAAACCAACCGCCCAACATTCGGAGGCACCATTGCCGTCCTATTCCCTCGAGGGACTCATCAGAGCTCAAACACTTCAGATGGATCATTATCCTCATCACCAGCATCAGTATCCTCATTTGCATCATCATCATCGACTGGCTCGATGTCATCATATTCTCTTTTCTTCCGGGATATAGATGCAACAACCCCTAAGACGAAAGCAATCTTCCGAACGGAAGATACAGAGACATACCATGTACTGAGAGGTTGTCGAAATGTCGACATGCGCATTGAGTGAGTTTATTCTGTCCACGAGTCGTTGGACGGACAAAATGCTTATACTTCACACCAGGAAATACGGCGATCTCTCCATTACGTCACAATCAATCTCCCCACTTCATCAATTCCGTCTGAATATGGAACAGGAGAAGAGCCCCCAAACGACGAATCCGATGGAAATCGAGTTCGAGCTGCCCGAGAGGCTGGACCTGGGCGTCTCGGAGAAGGGTGTCATTGGCCGACAAGTGACAGTCAGAGAGCAAGGGGGTGAGATCCTCGGTATTGGAGTGGTTGGATACAATTAAAGTATCTAGATTCTACAATTTACGAACATACTCCATAGAAACAATTGAAATCATAAAGCATTTTGCATGGGTTGGAAGTACTAGCTCTCTGCAATAGAGTACCGGATCATTCCAACTAAACCCTGGGATGAACGGAAAACTCTAGTCCCTTTTCAGCCTCACAGCTTCAACGGGTTCTCCACGCCAGCAGTGTAGCGCTTCTCTGCTTCTGCCCAGTGAATGATTTTCCAAATTCCCTCGACATAGCCGGCCTTGTTGTTCAGGTACTGCACGCAACCGAGATTAGCGGATAAACGCACACAAGGAGGGACATAGAAATGGGGGTCAATTTACCTGGAGGTAGTAGGCATGTTCCCACATATCCACACCGAAGATAGGAACATCGGGCGCATTGACAGGGTCCTGGTCCTTAGTGGTAATAATCTCCAGTCGTCCCTTCGCACCACCCTTGCTCACCAACCATCCCCAGCCACTGCCCTGAAGACCGAGGAGCTCGGCGCCAAAGGCCTTGACGAATGCTTCGTGCGAACCCCAGCGGGAGGCGATGGCTTCCTGTAGAGCGGGAGCACCCCCGAGATCATTCCCAGGTGTGCCGGGTGGAGTCAAGTTCTTCCAGAACAGGGAGTGGTTGATGTGGCCGCCGCCGTTGAAGCGGAGCTTTTGCTGCAATGAGATCAACGTGGGGACATCATTCGATGCAGTTGCGGAGGCTTGAGCGGAGAGTGCTGCGTTCAGGTTATTAATATATGTCTGGTGGTGCTTCTGATGGTGCAGCTCCATTATCTGCTTGGAGATGACGGGCTCCAAGGCCTGTTTACTATTAGCTTCAAGGCAAGATTCTCCGGATTCGTGATCGGATGGAGGCTTACATCGTAGGCGTAGGGCAAAGGAGGGAGAGTGTGAGTTTGAGAAGACATGGTGGAATTGTGAATGTGAGTGTGTGTCAAGTTATCAAGTGTTGAGGAGAGTGAAAAGAAAGAGTAGAGAGATGTAGACAAGAGATAAACCACCAAGGTCCCTGAGATAGATACCCCTCTTAAGTGACGTGATACTACGGATGTTGAGGCCACCAAGGTAGATATCCACAGGTGGAGGTGGTCGGCAATTGTAACGAGTTGGATTGAGCACATTTTCACCGAAGTTGCTCTAATCTGCTCACAGCGGTGGTCGCGTTTAAATCAATAGCCGTCCAAATGTGCCTTTGCTTATAATGTGTAACATATTCGTTGTTATTTCAGAATTCCTTCAGACTGTTGTCGAAATTAAATAAAACAGATCAATTTATCAAGCGGATACTGGTATAACAACTACATATGCATCGTTTCCCAGAATGATCTTTTTCATTTGGGAGTAGAAGAAACGGGAAGAACAATCCGGGGAAACTGGCTCTTTATGCTCATAGTGACCTTGAATGAAATACTAATTGTATCAGAGGTAAATAGAGGGAAATTTGACAAATATGAATTGCAAGAATGGTCAGCAGACTTTTACCAAAATAAATGACACAAGCAAAAGGATAGGCCAGGAAGATGTGGAACCGTGAACATGAACCTTGAAGAAAACAAACAGAGAGCTATATCTGTGAAAAGGCCCCAAAAATTGGCCCAAGAGCACGGCGTGAGCACGGTGCTCAGCTCCAAATGCCAATGGAGAACCCAGAAAAATACAGTCTGTATTCACAGAGGTGAGGCTAAGAGGGCCCGATGAGGTCCTGGGAGGCTGTGACCATCCTCCCGATATGCTTCGTGCCATTAAACTAGAAGCAAAGCCCTAGCTCATTTTCAGCCTTAACTTGACCGCATCAAAGAACATCAGTGCCCTCAGGAATCATGATAACCTTGGGCAACAGAACCACAATGTGCAATGTGGACTCGGAGGAATGGAGAAGGAAGGAAGAAAAGGAGAGAGAGGGGAGAAGAGGATATACCTACCTAGGTATGTATATGTTTATTTGGTGTGCTAAGACCTGGGTGACAAGCTTTGACCCAAAAAGGAAGGCACCCACCTTCCAGGTGGGAAGGTACCACTCGGGTCGAGACTACCTTCACTTTATAAAATCTGCATGTGACCATGAGGCCAAATGATGTCGAATGCCTCCTTTCCCATACAGGCGAAAAGACCTATCCATGTTGTCGCGCCGGGTATAATCTAATGTAGCACAGCTTGGCCAGCATCTCACAATTTTTCTACGGTAACTCATTTTAACTGTGACAAAGTTGGGGCCGTTATCGTGTCAACTACTACCGAGACTGCAGATCTGAGTCATCTGACTGGCAGTTTGGAAACATTTTTCCACCAATTATACACTTTTCCGAATCGGAAAGAAATGCGAATGGGTTGATTTAGCGCATAGACTTGGATCGATCTCAGAGTGAGCTTGTGTCACTGCTTCTCCGCATTGACTCCAGAGGAAATCCGTCATATATCTCAGCATCAAGAAGCCACTGCAACGGGTAGTTCTTGATTCATTCCAAAGCTCATCAGCTGCATTGACTGCTACGTGCTCTAAGCATCTTCTTTACTTCAGTTCCTACTAGGTCCCGGGATACTCCAACATCATGGGTGATATTGTACTCTCGCAGAAAAAGCGTTATGCGCTGATCGGCACTGGTGGAAGATCCGCTCTGTTCTACACGAGCATTGCAAAGGATTACAATAAGACCAGCACTCTCGTTGCAATCTGTGATACCAATCAGACTCGACTCAACTATGCGAAAGCCAAGATTGAGGCCTTGGGCCATGAACCAGTCCCAACCTACCTCGCTGCTGATTTCGACCTCATGATCAAGGAAACCAAGCCAGATGAGGTTATTGTCACCACTATCGACCGTACCCACCACACCTACATCGTCCGTGCCATGGAGCTTGGCTGTAATGTTATTACCGAAAAGCCAATGACCATCGATGTACCGCAATGCAATGAGATCATTTCGGCTGTCGATCGTACCAACCAGAGAGTCAGAGTCACCTTCAACTACCGCTACGCGCCGCATAACACCAAAATCTTTGAACTCATTCGATCCGGTGCTATCGGTACCGTTACAAGCATTCACTTCGAGTGGATGCTCAACACGTCACACGGTGCAGACTACTTCCGACGTTGGCATCGTGATGCTCGAAACAGTGGCGGCCTTCTGGTTCATAAATCCACCCATCATTTCGATTTGATCAACTTCTGGTTGCAGTCTCGACCAAAGACAGTCTACGCACAGGGAGATCTCAGGTTCTACGGGAAGAAGAACGCTGAAGAGCGGGGTGTGACCCAGTTCTACTCGAGGGCCCACGGCAGCGAGGCAGCGAAGAATGATCCATTTGCACTTCATCTGGACGAAACCCCACAGTTGAAGTCTCTCTACTTGGATGCCGAGCATGAAGATGGTTACTTCCGTGATCAAAGTGTCTTTGGCGATGGCATCAGCATTGAAGATACGATGAATGTGCTTGTTCGATATGAGAACAACGCAGTCATGACCTACTCTCTCACGGCGTATGCCCCCTGGGAGGGCTTCCGTGTCAGCTTTAACGGAACAGGCGGTAGACTGGAGGCAGAGATTGTCGAGAGCAGCTATGTCAATTCTGGTGGGGAGCAATCTCTGGAAGGCGCCGCTGAAAGTACAACTCTTCTGTTGCGACCATTGTTCCAAGAGCCGCGCAAGGTTGAGATTGTGCAAGGCGCAGGCGGACATGGAGGAGGGGATAATGTGCTGCTCCGTGATCTTTTCGGAGAAGCTGAGCCCGATGAGTACATGAGAGCTGCTAGTCACATTGATGGTGCGGCTTCTATTCTAACCGGCGTCGCGGCCAATCGCTCGATCCGTACTGGGCAGGTGGTAAACGTCAAAGACATTCTCGATCTCCCTTGAACAATGTTGGTTTTCTAGATTGGTTAGTGGGTTTATTGTACTTTGGCTTTATAGAAAGTTTTATTTTTTGCACATATTTGAATGGAATGCTTTTCATAGACTACCAATTGACATGGCTACCAGTCCCGTAAACAACTTTTGCATAATGCACTTGCTTTTTTACCAGAAGCTGAATACTCATGCTGTATCGCCAATGGGAAAGGTAGCTAGTCTACGTGTGACGAGCAAGCTCCAGACAGCTCAATGGTTGTGTGGGATAATGTGGGTAAACAGGAAGCTTTCCCCCAAAGATTTAGCCTGCCGGAATGCACCGATCTACGAATTGATATACACAAAATAGGCTTGGATGGGAATGCGGGGAAGTAAGTACAAGGATGTTGATGTACCCCGGTTTCGGGTAAATAAGTAGCGAAGGAGGCTTTGTTTGCTTCCCCGCAATATCAGTCACCAAATGCTTCCAAACGGGCAGTACTTGGCTGTCATATTTGTTCATATCTGTTCTAGTTCATGTTTTATCTGCCTTTGATAGGTGCAAAAACTGATTTAAACACTGAAAGGCACAATAATTTCAAGTCATGAAGCAGAATACAGACCGATATTACGATTCATTATGCCATTTCCGACATTTTCTCTTTACACTAGGGCCGATGTGGATGGTGAGCCATTGATCTAGAAGAGAAAGAGAGATAAGAGGCTTTGAATTCCTCCAAGGATCGAACACAATCAAGTTGGACCTAGATTCCCCTTCTTTAACCCCTTGTTATATTCCCCGCCATGGCTGCCCAAACGAATGATGAAATCTCAACAGTTCAGGAGCAAGGGCAGGAGCAGCGCCATGAACGGGCTACTCGTTCAAAGGCAGTTGAATTTCTGACAAGCCATGCAACTGAGGACACTGCATTTACCTACGAGGAGGAGAGGGCCGTTCTCCGTCGTATCGACAAGCGAATCCTCGTCCTTATTCTGTGGGCGTATTTCTTCCAACAGCTTGACAAAAGTTCCTTAAGGTAGCGATAACTCTTTATGTCGCATAATTTCCAGATAATCTAAGGCTTTCCTAATTCTCATTATACTAATCTGTCATTGGTTAGTTATGTCTCAATTTTCGGTTTGCAAGAGGATGCCCATCTAGTCGGCCTAGAATATTCCTGGCTTGGCTCTATTCTCTACCTTGCACAATTGGTAATGCAACCTCTCGTGGCGTTAATTTTGGTGAAACTTCCTACCGGAAAAGTCCTCGCCAGTGCCATTTTCCTCTGGGGATCATCACTTAGCATTATGGCCGCTTGTACTGATTTTCCCTCGCTTCTCGGGATGCGCTTCGTCCTTGGCTCATTCGAGTCCTGCATTGCACCATGTTGTGTTGCTATGACACAGATGTGGTGGCGTCGAAGTGAACAGACCTTGCGCGTCAGCTACTGGAATGCAATGAACGGCCTGACCTCCATTATTGGTAGTCTTCTCACCTACGGCCTCGGACATATCCACAGCAATACTTTATATCGGTACCAGACGATCTTCATGTTCTGTGGTCTTTTGACGGTGGCTTACTCGCTTCTCGTTTTTTGGCTAATGCCTGATTCCCCGATGGAGGCCAAATGCTTGAGTGAGCGGGAGCGATTCATTGCCACAGAGAGGCTGCGTGCCAACCAGATGGGTATTTCTAACCAAGAATGGCGTTGGGATCATGCCCGAGAGGTTCTCTTGGACCTCAAGACTTGGTGCTGGTTCTTCTCGATTATAACTATCTCGTAAGTATTTCACTATGGCCAAATTTACAAGCGAAGGGGAAAACTAATGAAAGATTTGTAACAGCATTGCAAGCGGAGGCATCTCCAGCTTCGGTTCCCTGATTGTCAAGTCATTTGGATTTGACAGCTTCACAACAATCCTATTTAATATCCCCTTCGGGGTCATCCAAATTCTGGCTATATTAATCACAGGATGGCTAGCCACATGGACCCAACGTAAGGGTCTCGTTATAGCCGGAGCCAGCGTACTACCGAGCGTCGGAGCCATCATGATGCTTACTGTCCCGCGTCACAATAAGGGCGTCTTACTCTTCGGCTACTACTTGGTATGCTCGTCATACCATAGTGATTTATAAGATCTGCAACTAATGATCTGGTCCCAGGTTTCTACAATGGCATCGATCACTCCATTGATATATGCCTGGCAAGCACAGAATACCGCAGGTGACACTAAAAAGAAGTGTACATCTGGTATAGTGTTTATCGGGATGTGCGCTGGCAACGTCATTGGGCCGCTTCTTTACTCTACTGAGGAGGCACCATTATACCGAACCGGTCTTATAGCCAACCTTGCTATGTTTGTCACTGTTGGGATCATCGCTGGGTATGCTCTAACTAGATCTCTGTGGTTTTATTCTTTGACTAACCGTCTTTGGTAGTCTCACTCCATTATATCTCATGTACCTGAACATGAAGCATGAGAAGCGACGCGTGGAACTCGGTAAAGTAGGCCCCGTTGCTGATATGTCTATGCTGGACAAGGACCGGCGGAAGGAAACCAAGGTATTGGAGCTGGAAGATATTCAAAAGGTCTCGGTGGAACAAGACAACGGTTTACAGGACATGACCGACTTGAAGAATGAGGACTTCGTCTATGTTTATTAATACCCAAAGATGTGCAGACCACACTGGATGTACTGAACTAAATATTACTTACTGTATGATATCAACACGTCTTGGTTCAAACGAATTCATGATTAGTACCCATAGAAAGCTTACCAGAAGTAACTGTTGTGGACACCTGATAGTTAGATCAGGCATAACTAGTTAGGCTGTCACCATCCATAAGTAGCTCTCTCTGTAGATCAGAACAATCAACCTTTTCTCTCTCTCTCTCTTTGCATCAGTAACCAATGCCAATCAAGTGGTTCATTAAAAATTTCAACACATGAATCATATCCAAGTAAAATCCATCATAGATGGGTGAATCCTGGATTTATGTGTAGATTACTAATCATCCCAGACCAGCCCTGGAGGAGCGGGGATAGTCAACGAGCAACGAGCCTCGGTCATTTCGGCTTACACAAATACAAATAGCTAGGCCGGGGTACCAAACCCCTTGTTTTTTAATTCACTCTTCCCACATATTGGACTTCTAATAAATTTCATAATGTCAGTCGACGAACAAGTCAAGCTCTCCAATTTCTCCAGCATCTTCTCCCTCGATGGCAAGGTCGCTGTGGTCACAGGCGGTTCCCGGGGATTGGGACTACATGCAGCCTCGGGGTATATATCTCTAGCGTTATGCCAATTATTTCTCCACTATTTGTTTCTGACATCTCTGCAGTCTCCTGCAAGCCGGTTGCTCTAAAGTCTACATAACCTCCCGCAAGAAGGCAGCCTGCGACGAAGCAGTCGCAGCTCTCAATGCCATCCCTAACAAGCGGCCCGGTGCACAAGCCATCTCTGTGCCAGCCGACAGCTCAGACATGAAAGAGCTAGACCGACTTGTCGCTGAAGTTGCCAAGACCACAGACCGTGTTGATATTCTCTTCGCCAATGCGGGCGCAACATGGGGAGAGAAGTTCGACACTCACCCCGAGAAGATGTTCTCAAAGGTCATGGATTTGAATGTAAAGAGCGTGTTCTACACGATCCAGAAGTAAGTTCCGAACCTAGCCGAAACTAGGGATGAGACGCGATTCTAACATCGGACTAGATTCACCCCTCTCCTCACAGCAAAGGCAACCATCCCAGATCCATCTCGCATAATTGTCACGGCCTCGGTGGCAGGTATTGGGATCGGCACAGTTGGTGAAAACGCGACACCGTCTTACTCCGCTTCCAAGGCCGCTGCTATCCATCTGGCGAAGAACTTGGCTGTTGAGCTTGGCCCACGCCATGTCTTGACCAATGCTATTGCGCCTGGTTTCTATCCCTCGAAGATGGCGACCGGACTTATTGAGTCAAAAGGAGGTATGAAGGAACTTGAGCAGTACTCACCAAATGGTCGGCTTGGCAAGCCTGAGGATATTGCCGGGTTGGTTGTCTTCCTCGGGTCTAGGGCTTCGAGTCATTTGAATGGAGCGGTTATTACAACGGATGGTGGAGCGGTGCTTAAGGGGAGACTCTAGATTTTCGATTTATATTTCCGACACAAATAAAGCCCAATAATAGTATACTATATCGTGGAGTAACCTGATCGAGATTTCAATACATCCCCGATCATCGAACTGAGACTAAAGTTCATCAAAACGAAGAGCCCAAATAAATACTATAAGGGTGTCAAAATAGTATAGTATAGATGCCTTCTAAGGGACCTCGGGCAACTAACTAAATAACCCCCCTCCCCCTTCCCAACGGGCCGAGGTTGCTCTTCTCCACACTTCTCCCCGCATTAAAACCCATTTCTCTCCGCCTCAATGTCTTTCTCACCACATATCCACCATGGCCTCACAGGAACCCCGTTATGTGGCAATTGCCCAGCGCAAACAAGCTAAGCTTGCTGCAGCTATCCCTGCCGAATGGCGGCTGCCCGCGCACGTCATCCCTGAGGGGATGCTCTCAATTTCCGAGTCGATCACCGTTGGCCCAAAAAGCTACCAACGAGTCGGAGTGATGGATGTTCCACGGACATGTGGACTACTCACATCCCAAGAATTGGAAATCACAGAGAAATACGATGTGCGGGGCCTTGTCATTGAGATGGCAGAAGGTCGATTGAAAGCCGAAGACGTGATGCGAGGGTTTTGCAAGGTTCGCCCGCATGTTAGCTGATTCGCTCTGATCAAGTCATTAATACATAAGGTATACTGCAGAGAGCAGCCATCGCCCATCAACTCACTCGCTGTCTAACCGAACCCCTGTTCGACCGCGCCTTGCAACGAGCCCGGGAGCTGGACGACCATTTTGAGCGCACGGGCACCCCGATCGGCCCCTTACATGGGCTCCCGGTGTCAGTGAAGGACTCATTTAATGTAAAAGGCGTGGACTCAAGCATTGGATTGTCTGCCCTGGCATTCAAGCCCGCAGAAGCAAATGCCCCACTTGTAGACCTGCTGGAGTCTTTGGGCGCGGTAGTGATCGCCAAGACGAACATACCACAAACACTCGCAACCTTGGATAGCTGCAACCATCTTTTCGGGCGCACATTGAACCCTCTCAACCGTAAATGGACTGCCGGTGGAAGCACTGGCGGAGAGGGCGCCTTGATCGCCATGCGCGGGTCGATGGTCGGCTTTGGCACGGATATCGGTGGTAGCATCCGCATACCAGCTATGTGCCAGGGCATCTATGGGTTCAAACCGAGTAACGGACGCGTGCCATTTGAAGGCCAACAGAGCGGCCAGATTGAAGGTAAGGGCCGAATAGGGCTGCAAGCAGTGGCTGGTCCGTTGGCGCGTTCTGTTGCGGATATCAACGCCATCATGTCGGAGATCGTGCCTCGCGCGGAGCTGTTCGGTGAGGATTGCATTCCGGGATCATGGTCGTCCCAATCGATACCGCTTACTCTCACTCCGCCGCACAACTTCACTATCGGTATTCTTAAGACAGATGGTCTCGTCACACCTCTACCCCCGATCACCCGAATTTTGAACGAAGTCGCCAACAGCCTCCGCCGTACTCCCGGCGTCGAGGTCGTTGATATCCCACTTCCACCGGTCCTACCTAAATGCCAAGCCCTCGCTGGCCGGCTGATGGGAATTGACGGCGGGTCCCACATGCTTGACCTTATCGAGAGCATGGGCGAGGACCTCATTCCGTGGCTGCAAGGCCGAATGAAGCGCGGCAAGGCCTTGACGGTGGCTCAACTGGCGGCGCTGCAGGCACAGCGTACAGAGATTGAGAAGGAAATGATGAAGATGTGGACATTGTCATCACAGGCTTCTTCAGTCGCCCGTCGTGTCGACGCCATCATTTGCCCTGTGGCACCGCACCCGGTTCCGGAGCTTGACTGTTACAATGCCGTTGGGTACACCTCGACCTTTGTGCTGCTAGACTATCCGGCTGGGTCCGTTCCTGTCCGCTCATTCACAAAATCCGATCTTGAGATTGGGCGGGAAATGGAGGCGCCTGTGTTGGGAAGTTGGGATAAGGCTAATCGGCAGCTTTGTAAGTTTCAATATTCACACAATATTCACACTTGATATGCAGGTGATCTCTGACCTAATTTGCTTTGATTTACAGGGGACGAGAAAACGGTTGACCGTCGGGTGTATCTCGGGTCACCTCTCAGTGTGCAGGTTGTCACTCCTAAGCAGCACGATTATCAGCTTTTCCAGGCAATGGAGATTGTTGATCGGGCAGTACAGGGCCACGGGAGCTCACTCAATGCGAAGTTGTAGTTAATTTGAATGTATATATCTGAAGGTAAAAATTCTAGGTAAATTCCCTAGTAGGAGATATATTACGAAATCTACCGAGAGATAGCTAATTTGACAATCAAAAGGCCGGCAATCAAAGTGACAATCCACGGAAATGGCCCTGACAAGACTAAATCCAATCTCGCGATGCTCTTAATTATGGCGCAATATTACCTTCTGCGTCCACCATACCACACTATCGCCAAGGCAAAAGAGAAAAAAAGATAAGAAAATAATGAAAAATAAGAAAAATAAGCAAACTAAGACACAAAGTAAGAAAAACTTCAGTTTCGAATCTACAGGCAATATGCCTCTCATTTGTTTAAAATGCAGGACTCCGCCGTTCCTACCTGAGTAGACTTTACCTTCTCAACCCATCACCTTGATCATCTTACCCAACATGTCCAACGACAAGGAACCAGGCTATGTCCTGGGCACTGAGACTGATGAGACAGACTCTTTCGATACCATCACTGCTCTTGTCGCCGCAGGTACAGATTGCGCTGTGTTATCTGTCGGCGTAGGCTGACATTACCTTTCGTCTAGACCATGAACATGATATCAAGCTTCGGACTATGTCTTGGCAAAAGACGGCCTGTTTGCTTGCCGGTGAGCAGGTCTGTCTGGCCATTATGGCACAGTCGTGGTCTCTCTCGTGAATACCCATTTCCTTCAAATACCTGTTTTTCAATGAAGCTGATAGGAGTGTTCCCCTCAGCGTCCTCGGATGGGTTCCGGGAATCATTACTATGGTCCTTTGTGGAATCCTTTTCTGGATCACCTCCATCACCATGCATAAGTATATCATGAAACATCCTCATATCATGGATATCTGTGAGTCTGCTACAGTCCGAGGATTCCGATTCCGATTTCTACTTGCATTGAAAACTAACAGTTTAATTACCGACAGGCGATTTCGGATACCATATATTCGGACAGAGCAAAACTGCCTATGCCTTCTCCTCATTCATGATGCTTGCGAACAATATTCTTCTTATCGGATTTCACGTCTTGACTGGTGCCAAGGTCTTGAACACCCTCTCAGACCACTCTTTGTGCACCGCTGTCTTCTCGATAATTGTGACCATTATGGGAATTATCATGTCCATACCCCGGGCCTTGCAACATGTTAGCCTCATGTCAATGTTCTCATGTGAGTAGCTAAATTCCCTTAGGCTCTCAATATGCCCAAACTGACCATACCACAGCCGCCTGCATGGGTATCGCAATTCTTCTCTTCCTCATTTTTGCTGGTATTGAAAAAGCACCTCTCTATCGAGACAGCGGCACCTACCTCACAGTCGGGCCGGTGAAAACGTACGCCTTCCCTCTGCCAGACACCACATGGGTCGCCTGCATGAACGCAGTAATGAACATCACCTTCATCTGGGTCCCCCAAATTCTATTCCCAACCTTCATCTCAGAGATGGAAAGACCACAAGATTTCCCCAAAGCATTGGCCGTTCTTGCCGCGATCTCCGCCTTCCTCTTCATCGTCCCTTCTGTCATTGGATTCCACTTCCTGGGCCAATATTCCACCGCCCCAGCCTTCGGCAGTTTGGGAGTCGTCTCATACAAGAAGGCATCCTTCGGCTTCGTGATCGTCCCTACCCTGATCATCGGCGTGATCTACGCCAACGTAACTGCAAAATTCATCTACACCCGCATCCTCGGCAAGTCCCGACACTCACACAGCCACACCGTGCTTGGATGGAGTGTGTGGGGGGATAATCATGGTCGGGATCTGGATCCTCGGGTTTGTTTTCGCGGAGATCATTCCCAGCATGGGTGATTTCCTTTCCCTGCTTAGTGCGGCCTTTGATTCGTTCTTCGGGTTCATTTACTTCGCCATTGCATACTGGCAGCTGAACCGGGGATCTCTTTTCAGCGGTCCGGGAAGGACTGCACTGACTGTGCTCAATGTTCTCATCCTGGCCGTTGGACTCTTCTTGTTGGGTCCTGGGCTGTATTCAGCTGTTGAGGCGATCATTTCTGACTACGCGGGATCTATCACGCCTGCCTTTACTTGTGCCAATATGGCTATCTAAGGGACAATCCTTTAAGAGCTTTTCATGACCGGATGAGTTATTCATTTGATGCTAGTTTTATGTTTCACGATGATGCAGTTTAATTAACATATACAATTCTTGTATCCTGTATATGTGACCTTCTGCCTTAACACCAATGTTGACCGAGCTCATTTCTGATCATCCAGTGCCGCCAAGCCTGCCATAGAATGCTGGCAGTCCACCAGGTACCTTTGGCGCAATTATACTCTCGACATTGACTAAAGAGATAACTAAACCGCCTCTATGTTTTACTTCCATGGTCCTTTCTAGGAATTGATACTCTCTGCCAAGTGCAAATGTCCGGTCTTTACATCGAGGTATTCGAGCGACTAGAGCCGCATTAGAGGGACCCACGACGGGAGTTACCCGTGGTTGATGACTCTGTAAGAAGATCGATTTGTTTGATATTGCTCAAGCACCAGCTATACGCTCATCCCTCCACTGAACCAAGCCTGCATTAATTAAAATCGGAATAGCCTGGTCCTCAATCCACTCTGTACATTTGATCAATGGCCGACGAGGCTCCCCAGGCTCATAAAACGTCATCGGATCCCAACTTTTGACCGGCTCTGTCTTCATCGTGACTTTGTTAAAAGCCTTCTGCTTCGGTGGCGCGGGGATCGACTTGAGAATATCATTCCAGTTCTTGGGATAGTTGAGAGCTCTGGTATGCCCGATGAGTTCCTTTGAGAAGAAGTTCTCGTCTATTTCCGGGTCGTTGTATTTTGCTGGCTCGTAGTGCATTCCTGTGACAATGTCGCCGGTGACATGGTGTTTGATGCCGCTACCTGGACCCTGTGCGTTTGTTTGGACGAAAAGTATGGTGTGGTATCGGGGGGATGGCATGTCTGGATCTTGGATTGATAGTTTCAATTTGACTTTGTAGACTGGGTAGATTTGGGAGGTTGACATGTTGACGCTGGGAATTGGAAATGGAAACAATTTGGAAACCAATATGACTGACTCTTAGGGGAGTTAAAAGGTTTGATGCTGAAAACCTCAGGTCTTTAGGCCTTTGGCCCCCGCCTTTTTTCTTCTAGCAAATGGGGTATCACGGAATGCACTTAGCCACCCAGTCAAACTAGAAATTGTAGAGCAATGTATCTCAACGTTTAATATGAGCGCTTAAGGTCCTGTCTGACAATCAGTGTTGGGATTTCGAATATGTCCAGTCTTATTATGACTTTGGTGCCTCCTATCATTTTGAATATTCTACCCCTCACTTTAGACCACAAGCTCGACTAGAAATACTTTGTAATGATTTTCTATCAAAGAAGTCATCCCAGTCTTCATCGGATGTATTAGTATAGGAGGTATGATAAATGACCCAGCCCCATGGCCAATCCCCCATTCTGACTAGATTAACAGTCCAAGAAGAGTGATACAGACTTCCACGCTGGTTTTGCATATTGTCGGTTGCATCGCTCAAGGAGGGTTCTTTGGGTGGAAAATCGGATGAACGCCATGGTCTAGATCATGATTCGTCATGAAACACACGGGGTGGACGTGAATTCCAATGCATGGTTTTCTTACATGTAGTTGGTTAGAACCCTCCGAGGCCTGGATGTTCTCGATATCTCGCTTAGAGCATGAGTTGTCGGATACTTATAGTTCAAGTTCATCGCTCCTTCCCTTTCAGCAGGCCATTTCATGGGATCATCGGGTATAATCCATCCAAAATGGTTTCTTACATAGCTCATTTCCAAGGAAGGTACATTCCTCTTCTGTATTTCGGCATAGGTAAACTTCTGGATAATACATGTACGTGTTTCCTAGTTGCCTTGTCAAACGTATATGTAGAGTCCCTCTGCCAAAAGCAGACATCACCGTACCCCTTCCTTAATGGCTGTTAGGGCTACGGGAACCGAGCTACTAAGGAGCGGGGAAAATCAGGAAGAAGAAGCTGCTGCATTCAATCTATCAAAGGAAGGGAAGGCCTTCCATAAAGGCCACAAACAGCAAACCAGAACGGCTCAGTCTGAAACAATGAAGTCGGCCGATTTCTCTCAGAATAGTAGTGATTTAACCGGATAACCGTGGCTTAAAGGCCGCGTGTAACATTATGTTGATCGATCCAGTCTTGATTGGGGCAGTTCAATCTCAAGAGCTCGGCATCTGATCCAAGTGGGTCAAGCAGGCAGAGAGGATGTCGTTCTTTACCCAGCGAATCTCTTCAGCGTTCACAACACAGCTGAGCCACCAGATGAGAGCTAACCTTTACCCCAACCAACATAGCTAACAAGCTGGCACAGGTATCTAAAAAATATGGGCAAGTAAAACTGTCTTGTTATGTATCGTCACTCTCTAGCGTTAATTAATTTTATATGCTACATAATAAAGTTTCTCGTTATAATCACAAAATTACAGAGCTTCATATAGGAGATATTGCTACTATAATATTCACGTTTGAACGTAATTTCTATATAATACAGCTATATAAGACCTCCGATCGCTGGAAGTTCATAGACCTAGCGTATCAGTAAATACAGTCGGACCTACTCGTGACAATACTGCCTCTATATCCTTTATTCTGTAGGATATCAAAATGTCCGTAATCTGATCTCCTACGGAATATATCCGAGTGATGGACTTCTTGGTAGTTGTTAGTATTCCAAGTCTTTTGATCAACGTGGGGGCCGTTTATTTGTGGAGTCGATTCGGCTTAAGATCTGATCGTAATTTCCGCGCTCCTCCCCAGTTCCACCTAGTGGACACTATGTAGTAGGTGCCCAGTGATACATATACCAAAATTGGGAAGTCGCTTGAAAATCGCTACGAGTTGAAACACAAATCGGTCGGACTGCCGACATCATAGAGAACATCGTAGCGGTGAAGACAAAAGGTTTACAGCCTTGTATGGCTATTTCACGATCGACAGGGCGAACGTCGAGAGTGGAAAGGGAGTGGGACTAGAAACTTTCAGGACGAGGCTCAAGGAGGATAGTTATAACTACATATAGCAAGCATACTCCGTAGCCCATCAATACTTGGGACATAAGGTCTCTGCAGCCAGCTGTATATGTGGCAATTCATCACCAGGGTAGCCTGGATTAGAAGGGGGTGCCAATCTAGAAATCCTTTTACTATGGTGTGTCGTGTTCTCAATATGCGACTCGCTTGTGTGCAAGGCTCACAAGGCATAATCTGGTTGGAGACCCGCAGTAGTCTGAACAACCGGGACCACGATTTTCGCTATGTAGTGGACCATGAACTCGACATCTAGTTTGCTTGAATAGTACAACAAGTTGTATAGTTGTCAAACTCAGCCTCCTTCCGGTCCACATTCCCCGTCAGCGCTATGATATCACTACGGCCCCAGACCTATGGACCCACCAGGGAGGATGGCTGTTGAATTATCAAAGGCCAAAGAAATACATTCTAAGACTCCTGTCTCCACTCTTATATGAACCTTGGAAGCCATGAGTGGAGGCTTCTATTGTTGAGGATCGTCTGCGGCGCAAAAATCCGATTTTCCTAATTAGGGAGGTGCGAGAGGTACTTCAACATATAAAACCCTCTGTTCTAACACAATTCGACACCATACGCTACTCCCTCTTCATCTACCATTTCCTTTGAATAATCACAATGCGGTACTCAATTGCACTGACCGCGGTTGCGTTCTTGCCAGCGGTACAGAGTGCGGCTGCGAGTTCAACCCTACATCGTCGGTGCGGGTTTGTCAACGACTTCTACCATCAACAACCCGACGACTACAATTATTACGGAACGGGTGACTGGTTGAACTACTGGTGGGACGGTAACACGGATGGATGGAAAGACCAGGATGGCTTCGTCAAAGCATTCGGCCACTGGGGACTGGGCAACTTCAATTTCAACTGCCACGACGATGGTTCGGACAGTAATTGCGAGGTCGGCAGTAAAATCTGTGATAATGAAGTTCTCAATAGCAAAGGGGATGAGGCCCGCCAGACCTTCTATGTGCTGACTTCTATCTCGAATTTGCATGCATATTTCAAACGCGTCTCAGAGGCGTTGACTACTGCCGGTATCGGCGCGGCTTTGAGCAAGGATAACTGGGCTCAAACATTTTATGACTTTGAGAAGGATGAGAGTGCCTTGGTTCTGAAAGAGGTTCTTAGCGGCGTTGCCACAATCACGGGAATGGTTCTTGGTCTTGCGGCACTTCCTGCTGAGGCTGCAATCGGAGCGGCTGGGGCTGTTAGTGGGGCTTTCATTGGCGGTGCGCTAGGTGGCACAAATCTCGCGCTGGATAGCCAGTATGCTATTTCTGACCTTCTTCCATGATGCTTATTAGTGGTGGTCGCTAACCTCTCACTCGCAGTCAAGATGATACGTTCGAGAAAGCCGCAGATCTGGGTGGCATCCTCGGTAGCATCTTCACGGATACTCAGAAGGCCCTCACGCAGCAGAACGACGATTTGATGGATGGCAAGATTGTTAATGATCATGATATCCGCTCCTACCTTGCGGACGGTATGATGATGACGGAAGACAACAAGTGGAATAAGAACATGATTGTCGACGCCCTTAATGCCCAGCTGATCGGCATTTCTATCAACCAGTTGTGGCGCCAACAGCGTGTCTTCATCATGGGTGGTGGTGCCTGCGGTGACGGACAGGGAATTGGCGACGGACCCCAGGACACTATGGTCTGTCGTGACGGCAAAGCCTGGTACCTCTACTACTGGGCCATCCCCGGTGATCGGCCGAAGACTGGACAGGGGCAGTTCGGCTATGTGACATTCCCTCCCGGTGCACAGGTTATGGGCAAGGGTGACTACAATGGTGTGACAGTTCAGGTATGGGAGCATCGATCATGCTAAATGGAAGCCATTGCGATGATACGGCCACTAATTCCCACTATAGGATGTGATCAACTCTTCTTTGGACGCGTGGAATACTGCCGGTAACAACTACGACGAAGACGCCCGCAAGAACCGCGCTGAGGAGGCTGTGCAGGAGGGTTGGGCAAACCCAGCGGCTCAAGGTGCCTCTTGGGAAGGAATCTTTACCATTCCCGTCTGTGATGTAGGATGGGCTGTTGATGGAGACTTGGAAAGGAAGGATTGGGTTTTGCAACCCTACAGTAAAGACTCGCGCCCCAACTGGTGTGGTTCTATCTGTGAGGGCGATCACCAGAAGACCGTGGACTTTATCAATACTGCTCAGCTGGATGGAGTTCAAAGCCCTATTTACCAATGTGGCTTGTACAAGGACTATGACTCCAAGCTAAACTGAGTATGTATATCGCAGATGTCATGTTAGACTGTTAGACTTGAGAGCAAGACTATAGAGTTCGTGTATCCATCCTCAGGAGACATGCCCTTTCGAGCACCCGGCGAGTTCAAACGGTAAAACTCAAGAGAAAAAAAATCTTCTTAGACAAAACTGTCATGGAATCTGTATAATGTCATAAAATAGGGGATAGAGGTGAAACTTCGGAAAGTAGAAACTCGCAGAATGAATTATTTTAGGCCTGGTACAAAATGCTACTTTCGGCCCTCGTACAGTCATTAGATCATTAGCGAAATCTGCTTCCGCCCTACACTGCCGAAAGTTTTAATGAGAGCCCTACAAGATAGCAGTGGATAAATTTACTCCACGTCATTTATAACTAAATGACCATTGTAATTTTGGAACAATACTAAACACGTTATGACGGTGTGAGTTTACAGACATCCAGATGTTCTAGAGGATTCCATCGAGTTAAGTGGAGATAGATGGCTGCTTCGGCCAATAAAAGTGCATGATACGTCCTAGAATCCCGCAAAGAGTAAATCAGCATCTCTAGCTGTGCTACTCCAATTTGACATGGTGAAAAAGCCCATACATATATAATAAGAGAGACTAAAAGCTAGGTGGGGGCCTTTCTGGATTCCTTGCATGGCTTATTTTGGCTTATATATACCGGAGAGCTTGGCTCCTAGTTTCTTCCATTTTAGCCTCCGGTTGGTATTCATTTGAACAGGCTCTTCTCTTTCAGAAACTTCATGTGTGTCACGCTCCAAAGAAGTTAATTTGGTGGAAAGCCAAAAATACCGTTCGTGATACTGGCCCCAAACAGCCTCAGTGCCCACCAGTGCCCGCTGATAATACAGCAGAGCAGTATGAACTTGCCCGTTCCTTTCGCATAGAACGCCAAAGTTCCGCAGAGTGTGCAAGGCAGGGATATAGGTGAAAGTTGAGGCCGCCCCAAAAGCGGCCTCGTAGCCTTCAAGCGCTCGTTTGTACATCGCCTCTGCCTCCTGGAGCCGGCCTTGATCTACGTAGAGGTTGCCGAGGTTATGGACGGTATTAAGCGTCGACGTGTGTTCTTGTCCCCACGCCGTCTCGTAGCCTTCTAGCGCTCGTTCGTACATCGCCTCTGCCTCCTGGAGCCGGCCTTGTACTGCGTAGAGGTTGCCGAGGTTGTTGACGGTATCAAGTGTCGACGTGTGTTCTTGTCCCCACGCCGTCTCGTAGCCTTCTAGCGCTCGTTCGTACATCGCCTCTGCCTCCTGGAGCCGGCCTTGATCTACGTAGAGAAGACCCAGGCTGTGGACGGTATCAAGTGTCGACGTGTGTTCTCGTCCCCACGCCGTCTCGCAGCCCTCTAGCGCTCGTTCGTACATCGCCTCTGCCTCCTGGAGCCGGCCTTGATCTGCGTAGAGGTTGCCGAGGTTGTGGACGGTATTAAGCGTCGACGTGTGTTCTCGTCCCCACATCGTCTCCTTGCCTTCTAGCGCTCGTTCGTACATCGCCTCTGCCTCCTGGAGCCGGCCTTGATTCCGATAGAGGCTGCCGAGGCTGTTGACGGTATCAAGTGTCGACGTGTGTTCTCGTCCCCACGCCTTCTCATTGCCTTCTAGCGCTCGTTCGTACATCGCCTCTGCCTCCTGGAGCCGGCCTTGAAATACGTAGAGGTTGCCGAGGTTGTGGACGGTATTAAGCGTCGACGTGTGTTCTCGTCCCCACGCCTTCTCATTGCCTTCTAGCGCTCGTTCGTACATCGCCTCTGCCTCCTGGAGCCGGCCTTGATCTGCGTAGAGAAAACCCAAAGAATGCAGAGCCCCCGCGGCCTCACCATTAATTTCTATATTTCTTATTGTCTCCAAACATCTGTCTGCATGTGCAATAAGCCGCCGTTGTAAAAGCCAGAATTCCTGTTCGTCATTCCCAGGCACACGCGCCGCTACGCATTCGACTGCTATCCAGGCCATACTATTTTCAAGCCCCTGGTTCAGCACATGAATCATCCACGAATGAACGCAGCCGTGTACGCTATAGCCTCGTGACTCCACTCTCTGTAAAGTGGTAGTCGGACCAGCTTCAACGAGCCCGTGGCTGCACAAAATTCGTAAGCTTGCGTGAAATATGAGCTTGGTCTTTGTCAGTGCGTCCAGCCATTCCGGCTTCTTCGGGCCACTATCCTCCAGCAGCTCATACCACAAGTCTTCACTAGCAAAATACGCCCATTGTCGGAGAAGCATAGCTGCAATTGGACTCTGCTGCTGAATATATCGATATGTGAGATTCCATGTTGAGTACAACGTTTGATCGTATGCCGCCAGTTGCGGCGTCTCTTCGTGTAATTGCTGCCATGATTCTCGGTACAGCTGGAGATACTCGGTGCAGCTAATCGAAATTTGCTCTAAGTATGCGCCAGCTGTCGCGAGGGCCAGAGGAAGTCCATCAAGCTGCCTCGCAAGATCAGCAGCTGCAGGGTCTGCTTCCTATTAGTACATGACATTGGACCATATCGTCCTTACTCACCTTGTCTTAAATTTTCACGGCCAGAGACGGAAGCCAGGACCTCAAGGCTATCATTGATATCCTCTAGCTTGCGTAAGTGAATAGTCTGGCCTAGCTTTACCATAGAGGACCGCGTGGTCACAATGATAGCACCATGGTCGGTCTCGGGCAGGAATTTCCGAAGATCAAAAGCCTTTGCAAGATCTTTATCGTCATCGCTATATGTACCTGCCTCGACAGAGGAAGTATAGCTTATGCCTTTCCCTGTCTGGTTGCCCGGTAGGGGATTATCATAGTTATCATAGACGATCAACCAGCGATCATTCATCCGGTCGTCCAGCCATCGTTTAGCCGCTTTCACCGTCTCGTCCAAGTCTCGGCTCTCCAAAGCACCTGCAATGTATGTAAGAGACGGGTGGTGGCGTAGAATCCACTCAGCTGTGCGAGCAAAGCTTTGCTTTAATGCTGTTTCATCTCTCGCATTCAGCCAGATTGTCGCCGAGTAATGAGACCGATTTCGTTTGATATATGCGATAGCTAGCTGCGTCTTGCCAATACCACCCAATCCATGCACCACGGCAGTACGGCGTCCAATAGTTGTTTCGAAGATCTCTTCCATTCTCTTAAGCTTATCTTCTCGTGCAACGAACCGGGTCACTTCGGATATCTCGGACAGGTTAAGTGGAAGCTCGAAAGTTATTTGTCTCGAATTCGAATTCCTAAGTAATGCTTTAACAAACTTTAAACATGTATTCATGGTCTCTGCATGTTAGGACTGTGAGGAATTTACCGTTGCACCTCTTCAATGGACATATGGAAAAATAACTGCCGCGCATAAGCGGCCGCTACCGCCGCTGCGTAACCATGCCACTGGTCGTTCTTATGCGAGTCGCAATAGTCGGAGATGCCTCGAATCACCATACATGGGAAATCGGTAAGGGCTCCTGCAGCCTCCATTTCAAAGCATAGTACCCCATACTCCTGCGCCATGTCGTCTCTCTTCTTAGCATCCTTTATCACCAACTCCCCTGATGCTATTGTGCCTCGGTGTACAACAATAAACGAGTCGTCTTCCTCGTCTGTCGGTCGCTCGATACGCTGCCTCGGGTCACATCCACTATCTTCACACGGTACCCCTTGCTGCCCATGTGTATAGTTGGACGGGTAGAGATAGTCATTCACGGCGCCAGGGAACTTAAAGCGGCGAAGTCTTCGACGGCTAGTTTGGATCCGCCCCAGGTTCCCCCAAATTGGATCATCATCCACCCGCTGGCGCCGGACAGCCAATTCTCGTGCAGCGTTAAGAAGGGCCGTTGGCGGAGCTTCGAGGAAACCTTTGCGTTCAAAGTGACCCGCCTTCGCCTTCCCATGGTCGTACTGTATCGCCCCGGAGTGGACACCTGTCGGTTCACTAACGACCACATGTCCTAGACGGATCATTCCCCAGTCTGTCTTTGTCGGGACGCCGCCCCCAATCCCCACCAACAAGGCATATTTGAGATTTGGGAAGGTCATCCTCATTTGAGTGACGACAGTGGCTGCGGAGCAGTTCCCTGCCCGAGGAAGACCAGCGATGACCACGTGATGGTTGTTGATGCTGCCGAGGTTGTAAACGTTTGTGTCCCCGCTGGGTTGCGGAAGAGGTTGGTGCTCCTCATCTAGCATCTCCATTGCCGCGATCTGTTCCACCTCTAAGGGGCATATCCATCCTACCCGGTAGGAATCGCGGCTCAAACATTTCAGCGACATTTTCGGCGGCACAGTCGGCGCACTTCTTCAAGAGAGATTTCAGGCAAAAAGACTTCGATATTGTAGCAGTCGTCGGGTGAAAACAATCCAAGGTAAATGAGGACCCCAGTAAGAAGACTCAAAAGCGAGCGCGAAGCATCCGGACCAAAGGGGCGCAGCACCTAAGCGCTCTCGAAGTGCGTTCTGGGGAACGTTCAGCCAACCAGGCACGAACACGAGTCATCAGACTGCGAGGATGACCAGCTGCATATCACCCCGATCATTAACGAATGGCTCGTACTGTTCACGTCATAGGAGGCCCAATCATTCTTCTATTTATACGAAGCCTTAGCGGAGCAAGACATATTTACGATCTTGTCCAGTAAAGAGAGGATCCAAGCTGTTAGCGGGGGTTAATATAGGGAAGAACCCCAAAACTAGTAGCAGATATTAATGTCGTAAACACTATATTCCGAACAATAAATATGGTACAGTAGACAGAATAGACTACGTCGCTGGTCGCAAAAGCCCCAGGAGACAGAGTGTCCATTGTGGGGGCTACCTGGGTGAAAGAAGTGCAGTGCACGTGACGCGGGCTATCGTCAATGCTGGCCCGGCCAGAGATTAGCTCGTGCGGTAGAACAGGCTGCGTTCCACCACGTTCTTTTGTGCAGCTATAGTGGATTAGAAATGGCGCCAAAGCTTGAAACATGGCGACACAATCTAATTCGTGATATGATACAGGACACCCAGCCCTATACTAACGCACAAATCGCCAAAGCAGCCCACTGTACCCTACGGTCAGTCAGGACTATCCGCTCGAATCTAAAATGCTTCGGATGTGTCATAGCACCAGTAAACGGCATCGGCCGGCGACGAACGATCACCCCACCTATGCTCGAAGCTCTCTGTGAGCATCTGCTCGAAAAACCAGATCTATACCAGGATGAGATGGTGGTCTTCTTATAGGATGAATTCCGCGTGCTTGTGACTATTTATAGCGTTGGTATGGCGCTCGCGTCGGTTAGATGGTCTAAAAAGGCTTCGAGATAGATCGCGAGAGAGCGAAATGCCGAATTACGAGATTACTATCTTTACACTATATCGTCTTTCCGATCCTACCATTTGGTATATGTGGATGAGTCGGGCTATGATAAACGAGCGGGTTTTAGACGGATAGTATGGTCTCTATTAGGCGTAACACCTATACAAATTTCTTATTTTTACTATGGACAGCGATACTAGATACTTCGTGTATGCCTAAGATAGCGTCGTCTTTTCGCGGGTAAACAAATCTGCGTCTTATTCCTAGCTTAGGGGATCAGAACAAAATAAACTGAGCCGATGCCAGGAACCTAATTATACGAAACATAATAATGTACATCGATATTTGCGTGTTGATGCTATTTAACAGTGAATTATTCATGGACGATTTTTCAACGATCAGTCAGTAAATTGAGGGCGATAACTTTCGATGATCTTCATTAGCCAATCGCCCTATGACTTCAATCACGTGCATCATCCAATACCTCCGCACACCCCAACCGAAAAGCCAATTTCGTAGGTTATTTGGTAAACTAAGAACGCAATTCTGGTATCAAATAGCTGCCAATACCTTGACCAGTTATATATGTAGTGACGTACGTCAAATAATTTAACGCACTAGTGCCTTGGCAGTGGGGGCTTGAGAGAAGAAAAGCAGTTGTCAGGGAGGAAGCAGATTTCGCTAATGACTGTAGTGGGCCCATCTTTGATTAACTCTCCTTTTCCTCGTTCACATCTTGTAGCTGAAGAAGTGTCTCTATGCGGTATTTTAAAACTTGTTATATCAATCTCCCTGTTTATATCTGGACTCATAATAATTTGCGTTGCTGTATCCCTCTTCACCGCCTTCAAATACGTGAGCGGTGAAAATAGTACAGTGGGAATATAACATTTCAAGGGGCTTAGGGAGCGATCACTCTGTGTCGTCGCTTCCACAATGCCGAAGACCCTTCGCCTCCTAAGGGAGGATATCACCTACTCCAAGGCTAGAACAGAAGAAGTCGACATTCTCCTTCGACTTGGGTATTACGATCGACAGAATGACTTCTTTGCTAGCCTCTCCAAAAACTTGGATTTGATTAAGGCCGTCGTAGGTCATCATTTAGGACTTTCTTCGGCCGACTTGTGCCAAGTAGCGGATGTTGAAGATTGGCTCCATGGGAGCTTCAATGTCTGTATTCCAGTCTCTATCAATAAATGGGAAGCTAGATCACAACCAGGAACTCGGGTTCTCCTTCGACTGCCTCTGCCGCATCGACTAGGTGAAGACTTCCGCCCAGGGAACTGTGACGAAAAGATTAGGTGCGAAGCAGGGACATATGCTTGGCTTCAAGAAAACTGCCCTGATATTCCTATACCTCGACTCTACGGCTTCGCCACCTCCGATGGAGCGACTGTATGAGAATTTCTAAATGGTGACCGAGACGGAACTAATAATGGTTTATAGTTCACACAAATCAACGAACTCTCACCTTTGAGCCGTTTTTTCCAATACTCCCGCCGTCTGCTTCTTTCATATCTAGGATATCAACTCCCTTCGGCCTATGTTGTCCATCCTCCGCGAAACCTACCCGGTGCTTTGGCTACAGGATACTTATTAATTGAGTTGATTGAAAGTAACAAAGGCAAAATGCTTTCGTCGACATGGCTGGAAAGATATGACAATCCTCGATACCGGCATACTCTTTTTCGTGATCTCTCTCGAATTCTCCTGAGTCTGACGCGCATTCCACTCCCTTTGATCGGCTCTTTTATTATCGACAAAGATGGCTATCTTGGCTTGAGAAACCGCCCTCTGTCGATCGAGGTTCAAGCCCTAGAGAATGACTACATCCCCACGGATATGCCACGCTCTTATACTTATTCAACCGTTGAGTCCTACATTGTGGATCTTCTAAGGCTTCACAATAGTCGCCTCAGACATCAAGCAAATGCGATAAACCACCTCAGTGACTACATCAATCAGACATCGGCTTTGGCTACAATGCAAGCAACGTTCCCATCATTCTTCACACGAGAACTGTGCCGTGGGCCTTTCACCTTCACTCTCACGGATCTCCACCCAAGCAATATCTTTGTTGACGACAACTGGCAGATCACTTCGCTAGTGGACCTTGAATGGGGATGTTCTCGCCCCACGGAGATGATCCGCACACCGACCTGGCTTACTAACAAAGCCGTTGATGAGATCGCCGAGGAAGCCACCGATTACGATACTATCCGATCCGAACTCATCGAAATTATGGCAAACGAAGAGAAATCGCTGGGACTTGAATCAAGAAAGCAAGGTCGAATGGGGGCAAATCTTTCCGAGATAATGGATCGGAGCTGGCAGTCAGGAACTTTCTGGTTCTCTCTTGCACTTGCTAGTCCGACAGGCCTATTCTCTGTTTTCTATAAGCAGATCCAACCACGTTTCATCAGGCATTGCCCAAATCATGATGCTTTCCATGAGACAATACCATGGTATTGGTCTCAGGATTTTGTTAGTGTTGGAGCCGCCAAGCAGCAAGATAGAGTTGCCTACGATACTCAACTTAAAGCAGCCTTTGGAGTTCTTGATGAGGCGGATTGAAATGCGGATTAGAAACTTATGTACATAAAGCCAAATACTCTTTAAATAAATCAGTTCTTCTCCCCCCTCTTTTCCGTATTGCCCTGACTTTTAGCCGTAGTCTCGAAAGCCTCAAACAACATTCGCTCGGCTCTTTCATGTTTGGAGTCGTCACGGTGTTTTTTGGCGGCTTCTGCCGAAGAAGTGAGCTGTTGCAATGTGTTTATACCGGACTTGAGGTCGGCAGTTGCCTGCTTTCCCTCCTCGGCACCGCTCGCGGGGTTTTCCGGCATGGTGGTAGTTCGAAGATTTCACGTCTATTTCATAAATTAGCGTGAAACGGGCTTTCATACTTTCTTTCAGTGGCCATGTTCACCTCAGACCAGAAGAAATCGGAATCGGAGGGTTAACACTGCCCGAGGTGATAGAAGCGCGACATTGCCCTCCAATCTCCAACTATTTATATGGAGCAACTTAACAAATGAGCCCTGCCTCAGGACGGCCTATCTGACGGTGGGTTTCCAGACTTTTTGCTGACTACCCAAGCATTATGCCTCAATGTGTTGGCGTGATTTATCATTGCTTTATTTGACCACGTCACACTTTCTATACATCGTTCGTGATTGGTTCATGTTACTGGTCTGATCTGGCTAACCAGGGTGGAAACAAGCACAGCTGCAGCTGGAAGTGGTACACTCCAACCAGCGTAGGCCAGGTTGTGAAAGTTCGTGCATTAGCGCGAGGCTGACTCGTGGATAGGAGAAACCCAGCGAATATCGTTCCTAATGCAAATGAAAGATGATGACCTTGCGGTCGCTGGTGCTCTTGGCCTCGGCCAAACAGCTACTGGAAATATGAAAGAAGCGCCGAGACTCTGGCTCCCAGTCAAGCTGAAGCAACACAAGAATGAGTACGGCTCGCCATCCCTAGCGAGCGTCGCTTCGGTATATTCTAAGACAGCCCCTATGAGACAGTGTAGGCCAAGGGCCCCGTAGCACCTCGATGCCTATGCATGAGACAACCAACATGGTTGAGACCCATGCAGCTCAGCATCCAAATCAAACCAGGCTTTCTCGTGTGCGTTTTTTGACAAGTGGCTAAGCATTTGGGTACTATAGTCACTTGACAAGTCCCACGGAATACATTAGGGGTGTTTAATCACCTCCCCTTTCGTTGTAAAGCTAGTCACCTAGATGGTCACCCAGTCTATGAATAGGCTAGAGTTGGATTTAATTTCCTGAATTCCATGTCACCTACCTAGACAACAATGACATAACTAGTTATAGGTACATTGTCTTCAAAACCGCGAGACATCCCGACCAAAGAACTTGTTTAATGTCCACCGGAAAGCCACACGCAGTTTATTGCGCCAGCTGATAGACATGCTGATGTACGCCATCTTCCAAATGAGCGACGCAGTACGTCCCTTGATACCTTCTGGCAGGAAACTCTTCGCACGCTCACCATTATGGGGTATTTGCATCAATGCCCGTTCGTCGCCGATGTACGCCATCGTGCCCAGGTCGCGGAAAGAGAAAGGCGGAGTCCGAGCCAGGTCACCTTTGTTCAAGCGATCAGCTAGCCACTTCGATTCTTGGTTGGTGGCCTGTGCCGTTGCAGGAGGGGCACCAGTCTCCGGCATGGCGTTGTCACCCAATGCAAACACATCCCGAAGAACGGCTGTCTGGCCTGTTTCGTTCTGCAGCTGCACCCGCAGATGCCCGTCGACAACAAGGGGACCTTTCTTAGGAGCTTTTTTGAATTTCCACGATGCGTTTTCGGGATTTCCGGGTGCTTCTGGTGAAGTCTCCATGCTATGGACTGAGTCTGTGGGGAATGCGTCGATTGAATCAAGCGATTCGGTGATGAACTTCGGCATGGCATTACCCGTTACCCAAACGCACATTCCAACACCAAGTTCACCGTCCTCTTCGGTTGTAAGAGTCAGACAGCGCTTGGGATCCATATGGTATGGCGGAGGTGCACCAGGCGGGCCCCAGCGCAGACTTTTGACATGATGAGAGGTCTTGATATCAATACCCTCACGCTCCATAGTCTCCATCGCATAGCGTGAAAGTGACTCATCGAACATCGAAAGCACCTTGGGCGCAACATCGTACAAAGTGATCTTCGGGATTTCATCAAGACTCGGGTATAGCGCCATCATATCGGTATAGATGAAATCGCGCAGCGACGCCGCAAGTTCGATTCCGGTTGGACCAGCTCCGACAATGGCAAAGTTCAGCAGCCACTTTCGCATCTCTGGTGTAGTGAAGGGCAGGACGGCCAGCTCGAAACATTCCCGCACACGCCGCTTGACCCTTTTCGCGTCCCCGATATCTTTGAAGAACATTGCATTCTCCCGCACCCCTGGTGTTCCAAACGTGCGGCTGACAGCACCTACCGCAATGACAAGCTTATCATAGGGTACTTCAAATGTTTCTCCCTGTTCCCATTGGAGATGCGCCTGCATCGGCTCCTTATTCAAGGTCTCCGGGCCTTCCTCGGTTCCTCGCCGGTCTTCGGTCGTGCGGGGTGACTCGGTGACGCCGCTCTTGACGACTGTTGCTTCGCATAGAACGGTCTTCTTTTTCAGGTTAACTGCGCGTGCAGCTCCTTGGATAAAGTCGACTTTGGCTCGCGGGTCGCGCACAGGCTCGACGATGTTCGAGAAATCAAGGGACCCGCTGGCCGTATTGGTGAGGAGAGGAGTAAAGACGAAGTATGAGCGAGGTGAGATTATGAGAGGTGCATAGGTCTTTGGAGAAAGCCTCCGCGAGAGAGTGTATCCACCCCATCCGGATCCAAGAATGACGACTCGTTCTTTTTTTATTTTCAGGCTCCTGAGCTGCGACGGGCCGTTCAACTTGTGTTGCGAGGCATCTCCGGCCTGATGTACGAAATGCCGGGGCGATGCTAGAAGATATGTATGTAGCATTGGGAGGGTGGACAAGGGAAGGCAACGGATTCCGCATACGTAGGGCCTGGCGCCGCAGAGGGAGCATCGCGCCCATTGGCCGGGTTTGCATGATAATGCAGGACTAACTCAGTCTGTCAGTAAATGGAAGATGGTATGTTCAAAAATGATCCCATTTTAACACCGAAACCTCCTATCTAAATGCGGCGTTGGTGCTCATAAGGGTTTCCCTTCCGCTGACACATCGATGACTTCACTGTCGGCGGGACAGGGAAAGGAGATACCCGGAGAGGATCTTGGGCCTGGCCCACTTGGTATGACCCATAGTCCTTCGGATCTTCGTGCTCCCGTGAATGTTTTGGGAACTGCCCGGGTGAGGGCTGTTACTGCTCCATCTACCAAGCTCGTGCGGAACCCTTCGGAGCCGTCGGTGAGAAGAACTGCACATGCCGTCGGAGACGATCGGGAGGTGCAGGCACATGCTGTTCACATGACACTGAATATTTTGGCAAATTCTTATCAACTGTAAATGAGTTTGAGGGTGGTTTGTGAAGAAGAGGGGAGAAAACGAAGATATTATGAGTCCAAGGGGCGTCATACGATGGGGTTGCGCTAGGGCTTGGCAAAGTCACATGGATTATATAGATGCGACATGGGTTTCAAGGTTATCTCGATGTTTTAGTGGCTTGGTGCTTTGATGCTGATTTAGATTTCGACATAACAAGCCTACAATCAGGTCCCGGATTGTTTTCTCGCGTTCTCTTCCGCGGTCCACTGGACTCCAGCGGATGCAATTGTATTCATCTTGAGAGGCCAGCTTCCTTAGCACTGCGAGAAGACGCCCGAATCCAATTTTTTACAGGTTATAACACGTCTCGGTAGTATCCAAGCAAATGGCATGTGATTCGGCGAACTTGTCTATCCGTTCGCGTCATTTTATCATGTCTCAAGATTTTGCCTTCATTTTATAGGCGGTGGACAGAGCGGTGGGAAACATGTCGGGGTTATGACACACATGTGTGGCGTCCTGTGGCACATTCACGTAGCCCTAGTGGCGCAGCCATCAGAACGTCGGATTTAGGGGCAGATTGCCTAATGGGGATGGTCTATTATTCCCGAGGGACTCTGCTGTACCATTTTGTACCCTACCAAATGCCGGAAAAAAATCTAGATTTAGAGAAGGCTCTTAAAAATGCTCTATCTAAATAGTATACTTGAAAAAAAAATCAAAATAGCACTATTAGCGCGAGAATTCGGCATTCCTTATAATCTGACAGAAATCTGACGTATTGAAATGTATGCAAACTGCTGTTTCTGTGCGGTTTATGACTAAGCTATGATTATATAATCTTCCATGGTATAATACCATGTAAATCCATGTATGCAACCTTGCAATTTGACACACCCCCCAGCTCTTAAAGCCTGCATTTTTCTTGGCTTTCAGAGCTGCTAAATCCTTCATTTCTTCACTTCTTTTCCACTTCTTCTGGATGAATCAGATGCCTGATTTCTCTCATCCCAATCATCTCTCGGAAGAGATGCTGCTTCTGTCTTAGAAGCGCCTTTATAAGTCTATCTGCAGGCATCGCTGCAGTTGGAACCTAGTCTATATTGACTCTACCTGCACTAACTTCCTATTTTATCTAGGATCGATTGATATCCATATATCGTAGCTTCGTATATATCGTCGATCCTTCCTTCGTTAATAGATCGACTGTTTGCTAATTGTCGTATATAATGGATAAGGGATGATCTAGTTAGAAGCCTAGTGCTTTAAGGACTCGACGCCACTATTAGACGGTTTTTCCGGCTTCTGCTAGAGTAAGAAGCTCTACTTTAGTTGTCGACGTCGTTACCGTTTTCTATTTCGATGCTTTCTAATCGATTGGACTGCTATATAACTTATAGATATAACCTTCCGAACTCTTCCGGTCTTTATTATCTCCGAACGAAGTATCGCTTACAAATTTAACTGACTTTATAGCGAACTAGAGACCCTTTATTTCGTTTGAACCGAGGTTGTTATCTAGTTCTTATCGTCTAATACTATACTCGATAGCCTAGAACCTAGTTTTATAGAGATATTGAATCACTCGGTCGATAGTATCGATATACTTCGGACTAGGGTTTATTAGAAACTTAGCTAGTTTAGCTATAGCTTTTGCTATATCTAGCCGGGAGATAGTAGTAGTATACTAAGTAGATCTAACCTTAGCTTAGAAACCATAAATCTGACTTAGTAATACTACTCTATCGTACGGAAGAAGGGGTTTAGTCCCTATGTTTATCGGGGACCCTACTTTCCTAGTAGTGATTAAGCTATACTTAGCTGCTATACTTTTAATATAACTATTTTAGTATAGCTAGAGTTTTATCTAATCTCTATCTCTAATAATACGGATATTTAAGAACTAGTTTACTTCTAGTTCTCGTAATTCCTATTACTTCTTAATATCGTTATCTAGCTTAGCTGCCTACTTAGTATACTTTAGATGATTTATAACAATAATATCGTCTATATAGAAGAAGACGATAATACTATTCTTAATAAAGATATATAGATCTTCCGGTACCGGGGTAAGACCTAGCTTTACTAGTATCCTTATTACTTCTTACTACTATAATCTTAGTGATATTCGTAAGCTATAGAGAGCTTTATAGAGCAGCTAGTATTGACCTTATGCTTCGAATCCTTACGGGTACTTAGTATAAACCTTACTTTAGAGCACTAAGTTTAGGAATATAGTAACTATATCTCTCTATATTATATTAAGATCGAATACTACTACTAAGGTAAAAGATTGCTCTCGCTGTTTTAATAGCTAGGGTAGCTGCCCTTTTCTCTTCTATCGATATCTATTGAAGATTATCTCTAACGTAGATTCTCGCTTTAAATTTCTCGAGAAATCTATCTATATTAAATTTATAGGTAAAGACCTATTTCAAAGGTAGTATCTAGATTCCTCTCTAACTTTAATTCGGAATAGGCACTTTAGTATAGGTCTCTTTCTTCTTAAGTATCTAAACTTCGAAGCTTGCCGCTACTATAAATCCTTCTCCGAACCGGTGCTTCTTGATTTATGCCTAGTTCTCTAATAGCGGGGGAAGTTTATCTCAGTGAAGCTTCTTATCGAATCTCTTACTTATACCTATAGAGAAGGTATATAGCAAGCTTATTAGATTATTTTGATTGTTATCGAGAGATAGGTATATAGTATAATCTGGATCTGTCCTTAGTCTCCTAGATCTGCTGCCTATAATGATATTTGATATATCGATATCACCTGATATATCTCTTAGTGCTCGTTAGGATGATGATGATGCTTGGGAGGACTCTCGATAGGATAATGATGATAGTGCCGGTGCCGGCGAGTATTCTATCTCCCGCTATAGCTATCTCTCTATCTCTGCTTCGTTATTACTCACTTCTATATCCCTATCTACCCCCCTAGTTTCGATCGACGGGATCACGGAGATTAGATCTAGTAACGATAATACTTCTCGGGGCTCCGGATTCGATGGAATCGATGGATTTGATAGAATCGGAGGGTTTGATGGTGATATTGATGATCTTAATGGCCTTAATGGTAGTAGGGAGGATGGTATATCTAGGAAGCTTCTTGGTAGGCCTCTTTGTGGATTTGTTTGCTCTCCTATTGTTTGCTCTTCCTTTGTTTACTCCCTTGGTCTAATTATTGATTGCGGGGTAGGCAATCCAGCTGCTTCCTTTCTAACCTATAGTAGGGTTCTCTGCCTAACCTTTTTATTATCTTTATTAACTACATTATTAGCTGTATCATTAGCTGCATCAACTCTAGCTTATTTAGTGTGCTTAGTTTTATCATATAGTGCTATCCTGGCTATCGATCTAGGCATCTCTATTTAGGTGCTAATCTTAGCCTATGCTTTATTATTAGTAAGTACCTACGGCTATATGCCTAGTCTATCTATTATAGTACTAATAGTATCTTCTTCCTTAGGCATCGACGGTATCGATTTCGAATACCTCTTTATTTCGTTAAAGACGGTATCTCTGACGACATCGACCCTTCTATTACGGCCTTTGTAGGGAAACTATATCTTGTATAGGTTCTTAGAGATATACCCGACGAGATATCCTATCTCTGCTCTAGGTGCTATCTTGTCCGACTGTACTCTCTTAATGATTCTCGAGTACGTTAGATAGCTATATAACCTTATATTTAAAAGGTTGATCTCTTAGTAATAGATACTATCTAATACGGCATGCTTTATTAGTTCTTTCTAAGGTATGATCTATTAATCTCCAATCTTTGTCGGAGTCTTATTAAGGATATATACTGCTGTATATATTGCCTCTAGCTATAGGTTCTTAGGGAGATCTATATTATTGATTAGAACTCTAGTAGTTCTTACTATTATCCCCCTAGATCTCTCGGTAGGACTATTTATCTCCGGTAAGCTAGCTAGCGAATGCTTAATTATATATCCCTCGGCTTCTATTATTGTTTTAACCTCGAGACCTATACTCCGCTTATTATTATAGTGGAATACCCTGATCTCGATCTTTAGCTAGTTCTTAATTAATACTAAGAACTTCCTAATAATGATCTGGCAATCGTTCTTCTTAGTATAGGTAAAGATAAAATGATATCTAATGCTATTAAGGTAAAAATGCGTTAACTAAATATACCTATTATGAGCTACTTGATTCTATACTAGGTCGAAATAGACCCTTCTAAAGATACTATATATCTCTCTTATCTTTCGGCGAGAGATCTGCTTCGGGGTATCTGCCAATTGACAAGCTTTATATATCTACTTCTCTTTGCTAGGGTTGCTTTTAATAGTAATCCCCTTAGTTATCTCTGCTAGCTTAGTAAGACGTTGCTGACTAATGTGGCCTAGGCGCCTATACTAAGTTTGGATTGAAGCTTCTGACTTTGGCTTACTTGCTAACTTCTTTGTAGTAAGAGCTATATCCTTTGATGTCTTAGGGCTCTAGAAGCCCTTTGGTTGTATTAACCATATCAACTTCTAGTCCTGATATACTCTATATACCGGTTTTCTAGCAGTTGTCTCGATACAGTTCTTTCTAAAGTTTATTACTAGCCCCGCTTTTATTATCAACCTATTAGATATTAGATTACTATAGAAATTGGGCGAGTACTTAGTGTTGTATAGCTTTATTTTGACTGCTTTGCTATGGACTACGCTGATACTATAGATTATTACAGTGCCTACCCCGTCGATGCTTATTTCCGTATCTCCTACCCTAACGCTGCTCTATGTATCTTCGAAAGTTTTAAACAACTCCCGATTGTTGTAGATATACATCTGCGCGCCGGTGTCGACTATCTATCTCTGTCTAATTGGTTCGGCTTCGTGGATTTGGGTGGATATAACGGTAGTAGAGGTTGGAATTTGCTTGCTAGCCGCCGGCTTGCTTGCCTAGGGCTTGCTTTCTTGCTTGCTAGCCGCCGGCTTGCTTGCCTGGGGCTTGCTTGCCTAAGGCCCGCCGGCCTGTGGCTTGGTTTCCTAAGGCTTGCC